AATCCCGAGCAAATCTTGCACTTAGAAAGCATGTGAGTATCCTCTGAACAGTTGATATGGTGCAAGTGGCCGTCACTAACTGGGATGGACTCCTACCAACTGAGGCAATACTTAAATCCTGGGAATTTAGGCATACCCCAAGGAAAAAATGTCTTCAGTAAAGGAGAGTTCCCCTGGAAAGGAGGGAGGCTAAAAGCCTCCCGAAACTTTTGCCCCCTTTAACTAAACTAAACCTATTAAAAATAAAACTGTTAAAATAGCCTGTTAGGACTACCAGAGATTAAAGTAAATATTAAATAAACTAAAACAGATAGCTAGCAAAGCAAGTGAGCGCTACTGAATGCTCTGTCTCAGGCATAGATGGTGGAAAAAAACTGGGGATGGCTCATCTCTTGCAGCCCTTTATGCCCTTCGTATGGGGCCTGAGGATAGCTAGGGTGTGTGTGGACCGAACAGGCACTGCAGCTGAAAATCTCTGACCCAAGGCACATGGGCAAATTAAGATTTTAAGACTAAATCTGCAAATCAACCCTCAAGTGTACTCTGTGCAGAACATTAGTCTCCTTTGTTTATCAAATAGCAATGCTACGGTCTCTTTCCCATCCCAAAATGTTTTACATGCCTTCTGAACAATATTCATGCAGGCACTGGAATGAGCTGATTTTTTATGAGTTTTCTTTTTATATTTCTAACACATTTCAGAACGAGTTTCTCCATGATGGGTCAAATTCACTGCTGGACTAAATGACTTGAATAAAGTTTTCTTTTCCCTAGCTGTGAATTTGGGCCCACGGTACACATTTGAATTAATTCAGTCAGTATTTAGTTATAGCCCTTCTACACTCCTTGCATCCATCATTTGATTATAGACTGCCCACATTTTAACTGCTTATCCAACTCATTCTATTCGACGTGCCATTGCGGCTCCGTTCTATGCAGGGAATGGGATCCTTGAAACTGATGCAGGTCAAAGTAAGCCGAGTAACAACAAAAGGAAAAACAAATGTATCTACAATTTTACTAGATGCTAAAAGAGTTCTAGTTTTCCCCCTTCCTCAAAACCCTTCATTGTTTCTCTGCATAAAGTTTGAATTCCTCATCCTCATTTTCAAAGTGCTGTTCCAACACTACGCTTGCATTCCTCTTTAAGTAAGTTCCCACCTCAGGAGGTAGAGACTCTTCTTGCTTAGATACTCCTTTATCCCCTCCCACTTGGATCCTGGTGCTCTTTTCAAACTGCCTTTTGACTGGAATAACCTCCTTTTCCTCTTCATAGAGTCCTAGGACAGAAGAGACCATTGTGATGAACTAGTTAATAATTTACACCTTACTTCCAGTCTGAATGTATCTAGCTTCAACTTCCAGCCACACTGGAACAAGTTACACCTTTCTTTGCTAGACTGAAGAGCCCATTAAATATTTGTCCCCTCATGTAGGTATTTAAACTGAAATCAAGTCACCTCTTAACCTTCTCTTTGTTAAGATAAACAGATTGAGCTCTTTGAGCTTATCACTAAGGCAGGTTTTTTAATCCTTTAATCATTTTCATGGCTTTTCTCTCTGAATCCGCTTCAATTTAGCAACATCATTCTTGAATTGTGGACATCAGAACTAGATACAGTATTCCAGCAGTGGTAGCACCAGTGCCAAATACAGAGGTAAAATAGCCCCTTCTCCTACTCAAGATTCCACTTGATACATCTGAGGGCTTTAAAATCCTCCCTTTAAAACCTACTCCCCTTTGCCTGATTTTGCACATCTATTTTACAGTTGCCATATTCACAAAAAAAAACACCTTCAGATATGAATGCCCCCCCTCCTGTTTTCTTTTTCTTATTTGTGTTCTCTTATCCCTAATGTGTGATATCATTTCCTGCACTTGTCTAATATAAATGAAAGGCCTTTGGGCAGTGACTGTGAATTAGTTCTGTACAGCACTAGAGAAACGTATGTCACTACATAAATATTGAATAGTAAACTGGATTTTTAAAACAGTTATTGATCTTGTACATCAGAGCTACAACAACTTCAAAGGCTTCCACTCAGTGCACAGAATCAAGCAGGAATAGTTTTTTTGAAAAGAAGTGCTGCAAATTGAGCTAAGTAGACATTTTGGACTAGCTTAATTACAGCATTAAGCCCCAAGAAGCAGCATGAGCCAAAAGAGAACATCTAGGCTGAAAGGCAGATTGCTGTTGAATTAGTTTGAGAAACTTTTCTTTCAAATGAAGAGGCAGAGTTTGAAGCTTTTCATCATATGATTCATTCAACTCACAATATTCTAAGAGCTGGAAAGATCAGAAATTCAAGAGATGGCAGATCCCAGGTATGTATACTAAATTGTAAGATTATTTACAAAGGGGATTTGTAAAAACACACAGCACATTTGTCTAAACAATTTAACTATTTGGATTCCTACAGTTTTAGGAATTTTATAAACATACCATACTCCAAGTTACACAGTCAGTCAATCTCATGCTGAAGACAGTAAGCTACATCTTCCACCTCAAGAAAAGTAGGTGTACACATTACTGATTATCAAAAGATAATGTTGTGTTGCTTGCTACTTACAAAAAGTCATATCCACTTCTGTAATATTGCTTCCTTACCATTCACACATTTCCTCCAGTTCTCCAGGAAAAAATAACTTTAAATCATGGAATTCCACCAATATATATGCAATACATTTCAATTAAGAATTATTTCCAATTTTGGGTATTATCTAGTACTGGTGACTGTGTATATGCTGGATATTTAATAAGATACTGGATACTCGGAAGTATGGGGAGAGACATGGCGCTGCAGTTAAAGATGGTTGCAGGAAGGAGTTGTATTTGTTTTTGAGGGGAAAATAAGCTAATCCATATCGAAGAAGATTACTGTCTTCTGCTTAGGGCCATGTTTAGCATTTTTTACCTGCCTCTTTGTTTTAAACCAAGAACAGGATTATATGAAAATGATTCTATTAAAATTGCAGAAAACTGGTTATGAATTGGTGAATCAAGCCATTCCTAATTTCAACAAGATTAAATTCCATAACAAATACCTTCACTCACCTATAAAAGTAAAGTTCATACAAGTCTACAATCTCAGCTTTAAACAATGTTTTCATGTATAATTTTACAGATCACAACCACCACAATTGGGTTTTTTTGATATTTTTATAAAATTTGCAAAGATATAGCACAAATTACACACACTGAATGCTAAATACGCACACATTTCATTCAATGAAAAAGTGAAAGTAAATATTCAAAGTCTATTACTTGTATATACAGTTTCAATCCAAATTTACATTTGCATCATTTTCATGGATAGAAAGAGGCATGGATCAAACAGCTCTGAGATGTATGACTAGTATGTTGAAAAGATGCTATTTAAAATGTTCATTTGCATCAATTCCTATTATGTTAGTTCCTATTTTCCTTTGAAAATAGGTTACTTCTAAAAGGCTCAATTGTGTATTGAAATTACTTTAACTACTAGGAAGGCCACTGCTATATACTCATTTACAAGTGCGTATGTGTTCATAATTGTTCCATTCAGATTCACAAGGTAACATGACTGAAAAATTTAATGGACTTGAAGTTACATCAACTTCTAAAATCCACTACAAGTTTAAAAATCATTCTTTGGATGTTGAGTCGTTTAGGACACCTCCCAGTATTAAGGCATCAGTGTTAGACATTACTTCTAGTTATAAAGTTAACTGAAGGCTGTTTGGCAGTTAACAAGTATAGCAAAAATGAACTCATTCCTATCTTCCCACCTACCTTAGAAAGAAGTCATTTCCTCAGTTATACTAAATCTTCTAAATCAAAATAAATGACGTTAAGTAATTACGGGTGATAAAACTCGTGATTTTACTCATGTTCCAACACTAGAAATGAATGTTTATTTGCATTGTTTACATTTAATGAAACTAATGTCTTAACCGGTTTGTTGAAATCTCATTTAGTCTTATACCTAGCAGAATTTTAAATAACTTCATTCACATACATTCTAAAATAGAAAAACAAATTTAGAATGAGTGCTTTAATTTTTAAATTTGTCTCAAAAGTAAAACTAAATATTTGAGTTGAAATTAAAATAAAATCTTAAAAAAAAAAATCGATCTGCTATACCTCTCGTAGCACACTTTATAACCATGAAATAGAGAGAAATGAAAAAACAAGAACATCTATGAAACTGAGGATGATTTGAATGTTATTTGCTATTTTATGAACCTGCAAAAACTGCAGATATTTAGTGAATTTAGGACAGTACATAAATCAACATACCCACTTTCCCCTTCTACTTTACTTTTGCTCACATTCATATAAAAACAAGTGTTGAACACTTCCTTAAAACTAAACCAGTTGATGTCCACTTAGAAAACTCCACGCCTAACAAAACACTAACTATGGAGATCCTGAAATAAAAAATAGAAAGCAAAATAATTAAATAGAATCCAGAAGCACACACAGTTCCTTAGAGTTTCACATCCTTAAATGTGCTTTTACTTTTTACAAAAAAAGCAAATATTTTTATAGTTATATATGTAAGAAGGAGCCTACAAACTTAGATCCTTTCTGTAATTTAAAAAAATATACATTCTCTCAGCTTTGATACATACAATTAATAATTCATAATGGGGAAATTAGGTGAAGAAAGCTCAGTAAGTAACATGAATATATTGTATCTTCTTTAAGAAGTATGAGCTAAAATGTAAGGCATTCCCAAAATATTTTTTGCATATAGTACAGGAATGCCATTTTTGTAAACAATAGCTCAAGGAAAGCAATACTGAAACCATAGACTTTTTCCTAGAAACCCTTTGATGATCTCAGAACCAGCCACCCCCAACCATGGGAAACATTTTTAACTTTCTTGTGAAAGAGAAAATGCAATCCTTTGTCTTCCCATACATTTGTTTTTAATCAAGCATTAAAACAGTTCCCCCTGAAAATTTCTGAACTAAATATTGATGTAAAAGTTGGCCTCAAGAGCACTAACTTGTCTTAAGTCTATTTTTCAGATATGTCACCTTCTGTTGATTTTGTGGCAGCGCTGTTCTGGCCTAACTTGTCAATTGATTCCTGCGCAGTATTCCCATCGTGAAAGTTTACTGGGATCTGAAACTGATGGTCAGCTGTGGTTTCAGCAGCAATTAGAGTCTTAGAAGAGGATGTAGGCTGATGTCTATGACAACCACTCTCCTCACCTATTGAAGGTGAAGGTCTTTTTCTCCCAGATATTTCACTAAGAGGAGGCTGAAAACATTAAATTAACCAGTTTAGTATTTTTTCTACAGGTATGGATATTACTACTTTTACTTTCATAGTAGACGATCCAACTAGAATGACATGTTTAAAAGGTAGGAAGACTAACCCACTAAAACAGTGCTATTGTTATGAAAAATCTTTAACATAAACTCAGTAATGTTCTAGTTTTTTTTTTATAGACAACGTCCATGCCCCCAAAGATTATATAGTCTAATTGAATTTTAAGATAGGTATTTGACTCCGTCCTGGCATTAAAAAAAATAGTCAAGCATGAAAAGAATAACCCACAACAAAATATGTGGTAACAGTTAAGAGAAACATGAATTAAACAAAACTGTCACACGCTAATGCTCTGGTGGTACACAAGGTCCCCACCCTGTGCACTGAGCACCATCACCTACCCCAAAGTTACTGAGTTGGGAGCACACAGCACCTAAAGGAACATTAATTGGCTACCCAACATCACAGTCTTAATGCCCAGCCATTTATGGAAAATTAACATTACATGAAAAAGCACAGAGTTTTCCTTTATACCAGGAGACAGACTCACAAACAGCAATTGAAGTCAGTAGACACTAAATAGTAAGTGTGATGGCTGTCAGTGCAATTCAGTAACAACTGCTCACTGGACATTATTGACTTGCTGCATTCTTATAACTAGCTGTTGAGAGATTACCTACACTAAGAGCACTAATTACAGGTACACGGTCAGGTAACTAAAAACAAAAATGTCCTTACTTATTAGCTTAAGTTTATTAAATTGAACATTTTCTAAATCTATTTTTTTCCATTAGTTCTATTTAGCATTGGCATTTCACTCATCCTAGACAGTGAAAATGGATTGATCAGTTTCAATTTTGTTTAGTTTCACATTCTGGCTTCTTGTACCATGCTGCAAACATTAAAAATTAACAAATCTAAACAAAAGTATTTTATTTAAATGTTGTAAAAAAACCCAAAACAATCTTGGTTTTACAAAACCTAAATTAACCTGATAGTGTTCCTTTAGCAATAGTACACTGAATGCTTTGTTAACAGAGCTTACAAACTTACATCAACTCTGAAGTCCTCCAGTCTCTTAAAGTTACAAAGGTATTCCTGCAGTTTGGGGTCAATGGGTAGAGTTTTGGATTGAGAGTATTTCAGGTAAGCCCAAAACTTTTCTAATCCATAAAGCTGACCTAATAGCAGAAAAGATCATTGACAATTTTACAAGTTACAAAAAAGGAGTATTAAGTACCTAACTGTAAATAGGTAATTTCTCACAATTCCCCCTATCTTTAGAGAGCCTTAAGAAATGGGAATTACCAGATTCATAGTCTTTTTTTGTTTCTTCTTGGAAATCCTTGAAGATCTCTTGTCTGAATTTTTTTTCCAAACCATAGCTGTAAAATCTAAACAAGCATTCCAATCCATACCTGCAAACAGAGAATAATGATTTAAGTGCCTATTACACTTCCTCAAGGGATGTAAATGTTCTGTCCTTCCCCTTTACACTTGAGTAAAAATTAAATACCATGGTTTAAACTGTCTTTCCTACCCATCTGATCCCTTCCTTCCCTCCATCCATTTTTACTTACTTCTAAATTTCTTTCAGTGTTGTAAGTATTCAAGGAGTCAAATAAAAGAACGGCTCTTATAAAAACATACTACTGACAATGGGTCTCAGATGGTCCCTCAGCTCCCACAATTGTGTGTGCAGCCCAGTGGAAGACAGGTTGATGCTTTGTTTTCCTATAGATTGATATTTTTAACTTTGCAGTGAGGAAACGTGCAGAATACTTTAAAGATGCCAAGAGCTCGTTGACTTCATTCTCTACACATTTTCCTCCACTTTGAACCAAGTGCTTTGTAGAATAATCTCCACTTCTAACATGTCAGTCACTTGAATCCTTGAGCTTCTGGAGATGTCAAACATATGGAATCTGTAGATGCTAAGCAAGGACTTCAGATTTTCTTTATTCCTTGATTACTTGGAGACATTCTCAACAAGATTTTGCACTCAAACCTGCCATGGCACACCCCCTTAAAACACAGTGTAATTGTTTGTTAAACTCCAACAATATGCTTGTCATTGGTACAAGACAAATAGTCTCTGCCTTCTTGCTTACAGTCTAAAAAATTAAGACAGCGTCTTAAACAAGTTCCTTGAAACCAACGAACTGCCGTTTTGTACATCTTCACTTCTCCCAAATCCAGGGAAATCTATCTAAACTCAAAATCCCAGTTTTGAGGAAGTTATACCAGAGAAATATTATTGGAATATTTTTGTTGTTTTTCTAGTAGTCTGAACAAACAAGAAGTTTTCCTCTTTTTCTGACTCCCTATATAGCCGTGAGCAAGTTATTATATAATCTATATATATTTTAAATAAGGTCTACCTTAAGCAGAAGTTACGAACCAGATCCAGAAGTCACTTGGTGAAATTCTAGGTCCGTGTTATGCAGGAGATCAGACTAGATGATCCAAATGGTTTCCTCTGGCCTTAAAAATCTATGAATCTAAGCAGCATCAGCATCTCTACTTCATATTCCTCACAGTCAGTAAAATGGGTAATACTTACTCTGCCTTCCTTATTGTGAGGATTAGTGTTGATGTAACACTTTCCAATTACAAAGGTGAAGTAGTATTATATACTACATTAAAGGATTTGGAAGAAGCTCTATCATGTGCAGGGGAAAAAAATCTTTCATGGATAAATCACAACTAGCGTGATCAGATCCTACATCCTACTTTCAGTATTATACCAATTCTCCAATTCTAAGCACTGCAAAAAATAGGAAGACCGCTGTTTGAACAAATGGAAAAAAAGAGCTATAGACTATTAAGCTACATGGAAAGAATGAGCCAAGAAACTGTTTATAACACAAAAACTATTATCATGCAATTGTGCATTCCCTGCAGAGCCAAAACATCCTGTAAGTATACATACCAATAACTCACTAAACTGTCCTAAATATCAAAGTATCTGAACACTTAATTTTATAAAAAACCAAATTGATAGTCTATTTTGTCATACTCTCTCTTCTCTCTCCATTTCCAAGAATAGAAGGGATGTGTTCTTCTTCTTCTATTATCTTAATTATGGAAAAGGACAAATAGATGGGTTTTGCATTTTGTCTTGAGGACTTGTAGGGTTTATAGTCATTTTAGATCATTCAAAAAAGGAGTGTGGAGAGTTCCATCATCCTTGCAGCTATGTCGGGGCAGAGGGTGGAAGAGAGCACATGCACCAGGCCTTGGTAATTTAAAGCCAGAACCTTAAAACCTGACTGACTGATGAGCAGTCAGTGACGTGACCAACACACCAGATGGATGTGTTCTTGTCAGCTTTGTGTTGCTCAGTAGGCAGGCTGCTGTGTTCTGGAACAACTGCAGTTTCCTCAGCATCTGCAGTTTCATTCCCAGATACAGTGTGATACAGGAAGTCTGGACTTCAACGTACAGGTTGCTATGGCCTACAATTCATAAATCAAGATAAGGTGGAGTGTCCTGGACAACAGTAGGCAGAAGCAGTTCATTCTGGCTATTGTTATTTGGGTAACCAGCATCAGCAAGTTCAGCAAGACTCAGGCTGCATACCAATTTGATGATGGGAAAGCCTCTCGCTGACTGGTAAGGCATTAACTAGTTCCTCAGAACATTTCACTCTCCTCATCAGCATTATCTACGGTACTTGTCCAGTTTTGCTTCAGTCAGCTGTTCTTCATCCAACAGCTGATCTCATTCAGGCTCAGGGACAGCTAGGAAACAGAACTTATCTTTATTTCATAAGCACACAGTAGGGGTGGGTGAGTCTCCATAGTGCTGGCTTTTAAAATCATGGTCTGACAGACAATAAATAGGATTTTGGAGAGCATAGAGCTTTGGGGATTTTCACATATAAGCTCTGGATGTGCACTTCCCATTTCCCAACACAATCCTCTGAATTCAGAGAGTGAGGAATAGGAACCATACTATCATTCTAATGCCCTATTATATCTTTGAAAGTGAGCTAGCAACGTTCCATACAATATTCTAGGACCGCATGTACCTTCTGCCAAATCTTTTGAATAACTTGGAAATCACACTAAATTGTGGCGGGTGTACTTTACATCTAACTCCCCATACATCAGAGACATCTGTCACCAGATTTAAGAGCAGTCAAGGACCTAGCAGAGTTTAATTACTTTTGGAGTTATATCTGATAGCAAAAAGATCCATCATCATTGGATGACCCTCTCAAAGATTTACTTTGCTACAAAACTTCTGCTCATGATGGCCTATGATTCTGTGATTTATTGGGTAGTATGACTTTTTCCTCTTTTTTAAAATGCTGGTCAGATGCACCAATGAGGAAGACATTTATATCTGAGATAAACCATTCCCAAAGACTTGCTGCTTCTTGATATAAAAACAGAAGACAAAATTCTTCTGGGATTTTAACAGTACATTACCACTATGTTACCTGTGAAAACCTGTCCCAGCTTACATTTGATCAGAGGAGCAACATTCAGAGAGCAATTTACAGGCCCAAAAATTGTGTGCGCCATATGACCTCCATCAGTCTGCAAAGGTCTTGGGTCACCAACAGGCCCAGATGAGTATCCTACAACCTAAACTACGAATGTCCATTTTAACAAAGAACTGATAGTGCAAAGGAAATCTCCAGCAAAACATGATCTAGATGGGATCATCACACCGGAAAAATGACAATTTCCAGAGGAGTCCAAATCCTGTCTAGATTGAAATAATGCATTTAGAGAGGAAATTCAACCAGCTTTTCTTTTGGTCCTGGAATCCAGCTGGGGGTCTACTTTTTCTTGAGCCCTGATGATAGCAGCGAAGAGGCTACCATAGGGAAAAGACTACACAGATTTCATCATCCAAGGGGATGTATTCAACATCAGATGATGACAACAGACAAATTAATGGATTTCATTTGTATGACTTAGATCAGACATTGGTATTGATGACTCAAGAGTTTTTGATCAGACTTAGCTGTTCCGTCCTCTTCTAAAGAACCTTGAGATTCCTATCCCTCTCACTTTAGACTTAGGGTGGAAAGAGTGCACAAGCACACAGCTGTGAGGTGAATGCCCAGATCTCCAAGGCATTTTTGGCTTTGGGCACGTTGGTCCATTAAAGGATTACTGCTGTAGTGAATAATGTAAAAAGTGATTACTTTCCACTTGTACTATGACAAAGACCCAAGTTTGCCAAGGCTTAGAATGTCATTGGTTTATCTAAACTTTAACCTACTGTACACTGAAAGTAGAATATTAAAAAAATAGAAAAAGATATAAGTGTAGCACAACAGAACATAATGAGGATGTGCTTGGGGACAGACCTTTCTATACTCACAGAATGCTCGGATCTATGACCAATGCAGGGGTATCCCTTAACAGTTTTACTTCTACCCATGATTTTGTGGCTTGCAAGGCATTACACATGATTTTTAGAGTATGAAATTAAGACAATTTGATGAAGAAGAAACTTTTGATCTTTTCGAGATTAAGACATCATATGTTTTGAATCATAGCAATGTCAAGTCAAAGGTATTGATAGCCACAGGGCAATCACTCCCACAAAAGAGAATTCTTCTGTTGTGCAGAGACAGAATAGCAAGTCCTCCGTACTTCTGGCAAAGAACGTGTGACAAGAAAAAAAAAAAAAAAGAGACATTAGTGGGGCTCTTCTACCCTGCTAATTCCCAGTTGCCATGTCAGCCTCTAGTGCCACTGGCATCCAATATACCTTATAGAAACCCTTAGGGTACTCTAATTTATATTGGGGTGTTCACACCAGCACACAAACAGCTCAGAACTGGGAGGAAACAAAGGTATTAAAACCATACAGTAGCAATTTTCTTTATTATATTGACAGTGCTCCTGGAGGAGAAGAAATAAATTTTCACCAATTTTAATTAATCAAGGGGTTAAATAATTAGGTTGGCTTACAATTCACACAATAGCCAAATTTGAATAAAATTTATTTTGAGTTTCATAGAGTCTAATGATCAATAATTGGGGATCTGACATCATGGTATGTCTAATGTCATCTATAGCAGCATTACTATTATTTGATTATTTACACTTTTCTAATTTGCTAAAACTGCGTTTGTTATTAGAGAAAGTTGAAGACTAATTTTGAAAATGCTACAAAGAGTCAAATTGATACTTTGGTTCAAGTTCTTTAAAGTTACTCTGAACACATGGACCCCCATTTCTTAAAATGAAAGGTAGAAAGAAACCCAAATTATTCAAAACTTACAGAATAAATGTAATACCTGTAGTGTTCTTTTGCATCATCTAGAGCAAGCTGTCTGAATTCCTCGTACATTTTCTTGTTAAAGTGATCTCTGAGAAAAAAGGACCAGAAACGAAAGAGTGTGTTCATTTCCTGGGATTGGCCAATTCCCAACCGTTTTCTCTCTGGAGAAAAAAAAATACAAAACAATGACAAAACAGCTAGTTTTAACTATATAAATACACCATCAAATATAAACTGTTGGAAAAAAATCTATTTTTATTAGTCGAATATACAGTAAGTTCAGATGGTGTAAATATAAACTCTCCTCAAAAAACAGTTCAAAACAATTCTAGTTAAGTCAATTTGAATGAAGTTTCTAAATTCACCTAAATCAGTTAGATATTACTTGTCAAGCTGATATTTATAAGATCAGTTGTTCAAAATAGTCACTTAAAAAAAATAAGCAAACTCAAAGCCTAACAAATTTTTTACAAAAATTTAACCACTGACATGAAAATTTCAGTAATACAGCAAAGAACTGATGTAAAATGTATAAATGTTTTTTCCCCCTAAATTTCCATTGAATTTAAAAGAAAAACAACCAACCATATATAAATTGCCCCAAATTACTTTCTTTTACAACATGTAAGTGCTTAAGTGATAAAAGTTACACAGAAAATAAACATGCTCACAAAATCCATCAGAGATAATTTGGAATGCCTTTCCAAGCTAAGTTAAAGTGGGCACCAAATAATCATATAGACATTTTTCTTAAGAATACTTGGTTTACTATATAAAAAGCAGGCAAAGAAAAAAAAAGTGGAAAAATAGCATTATAATAATATCTGATTATTGCCAAGTAAAATTTCTGATAACGTGTTTGGCATCTTACCAACTAGGCACCTTCGACGATATTTGTGGTACACTTGTTGTGTAAAGCCATTTTCCTTTAAAAGTTCATGAGAAGGATGCTGGAACTTGGGAAGTGAGTGAGGGGTACACCCATAACTTCCTGCTTTTGGAGCACCTTCTGAAGGTGAAGCATTTGAACTGCTGTTGAAACAAAAAATATTTGTAAAAACAATGAGGAGTACTTGTGGCACCTTAGAGACTAACACATTTATTTGGGCATAAGCTTTTGTGGGCTAAAACCCACTTAATCAGATGCATGGAGTAGAAAATACAGTAGATATATAGAACAGTACATGAAAAGATGGGAGTTGCCTTACCAAGTGGGGGGCGGGGGGTCGAGACAATTCAATTAAAGTGGGCTATTATCAACAGGACGAAAAATCACTTTAGTAGTGGTAATCAGGGTGGCTCATTTCAAACAGTTGACAAGAAGGTGTGGGTAACAGTAGGGGGAAATTAGCATGGGGAAATTAGTTTTTAGTTCTTGTAGTGACCCATCCATTCCCAGTCTTTATTTAGGCCTAATTTGATGGTGTCCAGTTTGCAAATTAATTCCAGTTCTGCAGTTTCTCGTTGGAGTCTGTTTTTGAAGTTTTGTTGTTGAAGAATTCATAGATTCATAGATTCTAGGACTGGAAGGGACCTCGAGAGGTCATCGAGTCCAGTCCCCTGCCCTCATGGCAGGACCAAATACTGTCTAGACCATCCCTGATAGACATTTATCTAACCTACTCTTAAATATCTCCAGAGATGGAGATTCCACAACCTCCCTAGGCAATTTATTCCAGTGTTTAACCACCCTGACAGTTAGGAACTTTTTCCTAATGTCCAACCTAGACCTCCCTTGCTGCAGTTTAAACCCATTGCTTCTTGTTCTATCCTCAGAGGCTAAGGTGAACAAGTTTACTCCCTCCTCCTTATGACACCCTTTTAGATACCTGAAAACTGCTATCATGTCCCCTCTCAGTCTTCTCTTTTCCAAACTAAACAAACCCAATTCTTTCAGCCTTCCTTCATAGGTCATGTTCTCAAGACCTTTAATCATTCTTGTTGCTCTTCTCTGGACCCTCTCCAATTTCTCCACATCTTTCTTGAAATGCGGTGCCCAGAACTGGACACAATACTCCAGTTGAGGCCTAACCAGCGCAGAGTAGAGCGGAAGAATGACTTCTCGTGTCTTGCTCGCAACACACCTGTTAATGCATCCCAGAATCATGTTTGCTTTTTTTGCAACAGCATCACACTGTTGACTCATATTTAGCTTGTGGTCCACTATAACCCCTAGATCCCTTTCTGCCGTACTCCTTCCTAGACAGTCTCTTCCCATTCTGTATGTGTGAAACTGATTTTTCCTTCTTAAGTGGAGCACTTTGCATTTGTCTTTGTTAAGCTTCATCCTGTTTACCTCAGACCATTTCTCCAATTTGTCCAGATCATTTTGAATTATGACCCTGTCCTCCAAAGCAGTTGCAATCCCTCCCAGTTTGGTGGTATCTGCAAACTTAATAAGCGTACTTTCTATGCCAATATCTAAGTCGTTAATGAAGATATTGAACAGAGCCGGTCCCAAAACAGACCCCTTGCTACTTTTAAGTCTGTTATTGAGTGTCCAGGGAGATTGAAGTGTTCTCCGATTGCTTTTTGAATGTTATAATTCTTGACTTCTGATTTGTGTCCATTTATTCTTTTGCGTAGAGACTGTCCCGTTTGGCCACTGTACATGGCAGAGGGGCATTGCTGGCACATGATGGCATATATCACATTGGTAGATGTGCAAGTGAATGGGCCCCTGATGGTGTGGCTGATGTGGTTAGTTCCTATGATGGTGTCCCTTGAATAGATATGTGGACAGAGTTTGCAGTGGGGTTTGTTGCAGGGATAGGTTCCTGGGTTAGTGTTTTTGTTGTGTGGTGTGTAGTTGCTGGTGAGTATTTGCTTCAGGTTGGGGGGCTGTCTGTAAGTGAGGACTGGCCTGTCTCCCAAGGTCTGAGAGAGTAAGGGATCATCCTTCAGGATAGGTTGTAGATCCTTGATGATGCGCTGGAGAGGTTTTAGTTGGCGGCTGAAGGTGACGGTTAGTGACGTTCTATTACTTTCTTTGTTGGGCCTGTCCTGTAGTAGGTGACTTCTGGGTAAACCTTCTGGCTCTGTCAATCTGTTTCTTCACTTCAGCAGGTGGGTACTGTAGTTTTAAGAATGCTTCTTAGAGATCCTGTAGGTGTTTGTCTCTGTCTGAGGGATTGGAGCAAATGCGGTTGTATCTTAGAGCTTGGTGTAGACAATGGATCGTGTGATGTGGTCTGGATGAAAGCTAGAGGCATGTAGGTAAGTATAGCGGTCACTAGGTTTCCGGTATAGGGTGTTTATGTGACCATCACTTATTTGCACTGTAGTGTCCTTGAAGTGGATCTCTTGTGTGGACTGGTCCAGGCTGAGGTTGATGGTGGGGTGGAAGTTGTTGAAATCCTGGTGGAATTCCTGAAGGGCCTCTTTCCCATGGGTCCAGATGATGAAGAGGTCATCAGTGTAGCACAAGTAGAGTAGGGGCGTTAGGGGACAAGAGCTGAGGAAGTGTCAGCCATTAAAATGTTGGCATACTGTGGGGCCATGCGGGTACACAGAGCAGTGCGCTGACTTGAAGGTATACATTGTCCCCAAATGTGAAATAGTTGTGGGTGAGGACAGAGTCACAAAGTTCAGCCACAAGGTTTGCCATGACATTATCGGGGATACTGTGTTATTGCACAAACACCACATTTTTTTCAGGTTTAACATTAAGAAGTGCCAGCCATCTTGCATTAACTACTCCCAGAGCTGTTAGAATAGCATAGTTACCAAATGGCCACCATCACATTTGCATTGGCCCCAAGACATGTCCTCCCACTCACACCAACAAAAAAAGGGATCACCAAACTTTGAGATAAAGTGCACAGGGAGAAATCTAGGATGCCAATGGCAAGAGAAAGTAGAACAGCAGCCTAGGACAGAGAGGACCAAGAGTTAGGGTTGCCAACTTTCTAATCACAGAAAACTGAACACCCCTGCCCCGCCCCTGTGCCTTTTCCAAGGCCCTACCCCCCATTCACGCCATCACCCCTCCCTCCGTCACTCGCTCTCCTCCACCCTCACTCACTCGCTCATTTTCACCGGGCTGGGGCAGGCAGTTGGGATGCAGGAGTGGGCTCAGGGGATGAGGGGTTTGGGGTGCGGGAGGGGGCTCTGGGCTGGGGCATAGGGTTGGAATGCGGGAGAAAGTGGGGGGGGGGGTGAGCTCCACAAGGGAGTTTGGGTGCAAGGGAGGGCTCAGGGTTGGGGTGCAGGCTCCGGGCGATGCTTACCTCAGATGGCTCCCAGAAGCAGTGACATGTCCCTTAGGCTCCTAGACAGCGGGGTGGAAAGGGGGCTCTGCACAGTGCACCTGCCCGCAGGTGCTGCCCCTGCAGCTCCCATTGGCTGCTGTTCCTGGCCAATGGGAGCTGCGGAGCCCCCATGTCCGCCCCTATGCCTAGGAGCCTAAGGGACATGTCGCCACTTCCGGGAGCTGCATGGAGCTGGGTAAGGAGCCTATCTGTGCCGCCGACCAGACGTTTAGCAGCCTGGTCAGCGGTGCTAACTGAAGCTGCCAGGGTCCCTTTTTGACTGGGTGTTCTGGTCGAAAACTGCACACCTGGCAACCCTACCATGGGTCGATTGCGAAAGAAGTGGAGGGAGCTAGAAGCTAAAGTAGAGATGGCGGAGTGGGCCAAGAGGAAACCGTTGACCACCTCCAGAGCTTGCTGGGTCACCTAAAAAGATAGCAACAAGAGCTAGAGGATACAAGTACCTCCTAGCGGAAGATTGATTAGTTGATAGAACTGAACAGGAATTAGTCCAGTTAGGGTGTAGGCAGAGAGAGAGAAACAGCAGTGCTTAATGCTGAAGCAGGACTTTAGCCAGGCTTCAGGCAGACAAGGAGGCCAGGAAACAGAGGCTGATGGCAGAGCCGTGAGTTCAAGGAGGTACAATGGGCATCCAGGCAGAGACTTGAACTCAGTGGGATACAGTGGAGATCCAGACAGTACATCAGCAGCAGGCCAGAACACGTGAGAGGCCAACGGTGCAAATAGTGGTCCTTTGGGGAAAAGGGAAATAGGACACCTGTTTTATGGCTCCCATCATGAGGACTGGAGATCAGAATTACTGGCGGCCGCAGAACGAGAGCTACATGTAGCTCAGTGAGGGCAAGTCTACACTAGAGTGCAGCAGCGGTGCAGCTACACTGATGCAGCTGCGCTACTGTAACACGTCTGGTGAAGACACGCTATGCTGATGGGAGAGCACTCTCCAGTCGGCGTAATTACTCCACCTCCGCAAGAGCGCAGAAGCTATGTCTATGTGAGAGCATTTCCCACCAACATAGCACCAGTGTGGACAGCGCTTAGGTCGATGTAACTTACGTTGTTTAGGGGAATGTCTTTTTCACACCCCTCAGCACATAAATTACATCAACTTAAGTGGTAGTGTAGACCAGCCCTGACAGAAAGAGACCTGACTGTGGAAAATCAGGACACTTGCAAGGAAAGAGGTCACCTGATCTTGATAGTCAGTGAGCCTGAGGGAGAATTAGAGACTGCATGCAGAGACTTTGAAATCCTGGAGAAGATGATGAGGGTCTATATAGACTGATTGGTCTTGAAGATATGAATTGTAATACTGGTATTAAGGACTGTGCAGAACTTGGGGAATCCAGGTATATATGAATGAGTTTATATGGAATTTTTTTTGTTTTGGGTTAGGGGTGAGAGCAGTCCAGATGTGGCCTCACAGCTCAGGGAAAAATTCTGCCTGTGAAAGAGGCAGGTTTTTCCTGAAAAAGGTGGAGAGGTATGTCACAGGGTAGCTGGCCCTAAAACTGAAATACGTCTAGCTCCTCTGTGCCCGAACAGGTGCTCCCTGTTGGCCCAATTAAGGGGGCAGTGCTGCACCGGGGGTTAACAGTTGATGTGTCTCCTTGTATTCTCTCTTCACTGTTTCCCTGCTATTCTTTTGTATTTTATTCTCACTTCTCTTTCCCCAATCCCTTTTTCCTTTCTTGCTGTATTCCTTCTGTCCACCAGTCCTCTTCATTTGTAAATACGTTTTGCATATTCACATACTTCTCACCAATAACCGTTCCACTGGCTCTATGCACTGAATAAATCACAGCAAATTATTCCATGATAAAAATTACTACCTCACAGATGATGTTCTTGGCCTGTGATCTCTGGAATCCATTACCCAACCAACATGGCATTCTAGCGGAGGGTTTGTACTATGTCGTGTTTTTCTTTTTCTTGGAATCTAAGAAAACAAATGCAACATTGCAAAGTATTTCACTGATGTAACTGCAGTCACTTTCTGAAAACTGGAAAATCACAAGTGATCAGGTAAGCTGCTATTTCCCCCAAACTACAGCTCAAGGTTTCATGTTGCGTATAACACATTGTGAAGTCATATGAAGTCATAAAACTCCAGCATCATAATCCAAGACCAGTCTTAAACAGAAATTCAAGGTCTTTGGATATTTTGCCTTTTCATTATGGAATTTCTAATGATATTTACCCAACTCAAAGATGCCATTTCTCAGAACCGGAGAAAACATCAGTAAGATAAGTTGTTTAAAACAATATAAGCCACCCCCCGTTACAGAAAGAAGTGAAGATAACTAACAGTACTGTTGCATTATGTTAATAAAAAAGTTTGACCTGATGAAACTTTATGCACAAGGTTTTTCTGTTTACCTTTACATCAATGGATCTTGTTTCTTTAACAACAGGATAGAATCTTGGCGTTTTGTTGGGATCTTGTAACCTTGGGGTACGAGGTGTTTTGGGTGTTCTGGCAGGATGAACTCTTGGAGATTCTGGGACTGCTGTTGGCAGTGAACGAGCCATTGTTGTTGGAGGTACTTCTACAACACCAAACAATTTGCAAGCTAGCTCATCTGTTAAATCTGTAAATAGAAAAAGAGACTTAGATTGCTAACATACATGTATGCAGAAGTATTTCATTTTCAGTTGACATTTAATGGACAGACAGAATATCTTTGAAATTCATTTGTATTCTGCCTAAAAATTTCGACATTAATTAACAAAGGACAAAGTATGAGTTTATTGATGCAGCCATATTGCTTAACCTCAATCTAAATTAACTCAATTTATGTAGTTTGGGTTTTAAAAGCTCCTGTTAATCAAGACATACAAAACTCACTGGAAAAAAGACAGTTACCTTTTCAGTAACTGGAGTTCTTTGAAATGTGTTGCTCATGTCTATTCCACAACAGGTGTGCGTGCTCGCCACATGCACTGCTTCCGGAAGTTTTAACCCTAGCAGTACCCGTAGGGGAGCGCCCTAGCGACCCCTGGAGTGGCGCCTCCATGGCGCGGTATAAGGGGAGCTGCATGCTCCCCCCACCCTCAGTTCCTTCTTGCCAGACAACTCTGACAGAGGAGGAGGGTGGGATGTGGAATAAACATGAGCAACACATCTCGAAGAACACCAGTTATGGAAAAGGTAACTGTCTTTTCTTCTTCGAGTGATTGCTCATGTGTATTCCACATAGGTGATTCCAAGCTATATCTGTTGGAGGTGGGAAGGAGTTCACAAACTCTCGGGATGGAGAATGGCCCTGCCGAACCCGCCGTCCTCCCTGGTCTCAGAGACAATCGCTTAATGTGAGTTGAATATGTGAACTGAAGACCACGTGACAGCCCTACAAATGTCCTGAATGGGGACATGGGCCAAAAAGGCAGCCGACGAGGCCTGCGCCCTAGTCGAGTGCGCCTTCACAATTGGTGGCGGAGGGATTCCCGCCAGGTCATAACAGGTACAGATGCATGAGGTGACCCAGTTGGAGAGCCGCTGAGTGGAGATCGGCCGACCTTTCATGCGCTCGGCCAAGGCGATGAACATTTGCGAGGACTTTCTGAACGGTTTATTACGCTCCAGGTAAAAAGCCAGAGCCCATCTCACAACCAGTGTGTGGAGGCGGCGTTCCTTAATGGACGCATGGGGCTTGGTGCAGAGGACCGGCAGAAAAATGTCCTGACCCATGTGATAGGCAGAAACCACCTTCGGGAGGAAAGAAGGGTGTGGGCAGAGCTGGACCTTATATTTATGAAGCACCATGTACAGGGGCTTGGAGGTCGGGGCCCTGAGTTCCAAGACCCGCCTAGCCAATATGATCCCAACCAGGAAGGCCACCTTCCAGGAGCATGTGGCTAACAGCTCAAATGGGGGTCCCATGAGACGGGCCAACACCAGGTTTAGGTCCCACTGCGGGACTGGGGGCCTAACATACGGGAAGAGACAATCCAACCCCTTAAAGAACCGGCCCGTCATAGTATGGGAGAATACCGCGTGGCCCTGCACCAGTGGATGGAAGGCTGATATAGCCGCCAGGTGCACCTTGACTGACAAGGGCGCCAGACCCTGGCCTCTAAGATGAAGGAGGTAGTCGAGAATAAGTTGGATCGGGGCGGACACCGGGGAAACGCCCCGCTCGTCCGCCCATCTGGAAAACAGAGACCACTTTGCCAAGTAGGCTCAGCGCGTGGAGGGCTGCCTGCTTTCTAGGAGGACGCGCTGAACCCCTTCTGAGCACGTCCTTTCCTCCCTACCTAACCATTAAGCAGCCACGCCATGAGGTAGAGTGCCGCTAGGTTGGGGTGGAGGAGGCGGCCCTGGTCCTGGGAGAGCAGGTCCGGGTGGGATGGCAATGACCATGGCGGGGCGACCGCCAGGCCCGTGAGGGTCCCGTACCAATGCTGCCTGAGCCATGCCAGGGCAATCAGAAGGACCTGGGCCTTTTCCAGGACCTTGCCGATCAGCAGGAACGGGGGAAAGGCATCGAGAAACTGGCTTGACCAGGCCAGGAGGAAGGCATCGGAGATAGTGCCCCGTCCCAGCCCCGGAGCAGAACCAGGGACAGCAATGGTTCTGCCTAGTCGCGAACAGGTCCACCTGGGGAGTTCCCCACACTTGGAAAAGCCTGTGCACCACCTCTGGGTGGAGAGACCACTCGTGCTGAGAGGAGAAGTCCCTGCTCAAGCAATCCGCCCATGCTTTCTGGGCGTCCGGCAGATGGAAGGCCTGTAGGCAGATGTCGTGGGCTATACAAAAGTCCCACAGCCTGAGGGCTTCGTGGCAGAAGGCAGAGGATCAGGCCCCGTCTTGCCTGTTGATGTAGAACATCACGGCCGCGTTGTCCGTGAGGACTCTGACCATCCGGCCCTCCAGGTGCGAGCAGAAGGCCATGCACACCAGCCATACCGCCCTGAGCTCCTTGACGTTTATGTGGAGAGTCAGATCCTGAGCCAACCACAGATCTTGCTTCTGAACGTTCCCCACATGGGCCCCCCCCCCATCCCAGGTCCGACACGTCGGACACCAGTTCCAGCGACAGGGCCCTGCCCCTGAATGGGACCCCTTGGAGCAGGTTTCTTGGGGAGGATCACCACCGTAGGGAGGTGATCACTGGCTTGGGCACTGTGAGGACTTAGTCCATCCTGTCCCTGGCCTGGGAGAACTCCGAGGCCAACCAGAGCTGGAGGAGCCTCATCCTGAGTCTGGCATGACAGACCACATACATGCACACTGACATGCAACCCAAGAGCTGGAGGCACGCTGTCTGTCTGTCACCAGAAACCTTGTGACCGTGTCGATGAGCCCCTTCGGGGTCTCGAACCTGTCCGGTGGGAGGGAGGCTCTTCCTAGCCTTCTTGGCGTGTCCCGTGGACAGAGAGCGGTGCTGACTAGTCGATGGCACCGAAGGGTTGCCGCACACTGACACCGCAATGCCCGTTACCGACTTGGAGCAGTGCGCCAAAGCCGGGGTCAGCGCCGACTCCATCAGAATAGCCCAGAGCCTAATGTCCCTTTCTCTCTTGGTCCGAGGCTTAAAACAACTTGCAAATCTTGCAGCGATCGCTGAGATGGGTTCCCCCAAACAGCATAAACAGTTCGCATGCAGATCACTCACTGGCATAGATCGCCTAGAAGTGTCGCACAACTTAAAACCAGGGCACGGGGCATGCCCCGGCCCGGGTGCTCTAGATAAACTAAACGTACCATACACTGAATGAACAACAATTTTGGGGATGAGCTACAGCAAAGCTGGAGCAGAGCAGTTCCGAAGCACCTTCACTGGTGGCAAGGAGGAACTGAGGGTGGGGGGAGCGTGCAGCGCCCCTTATACCACGTCATGGAGGCACCACTCCAGGGATCCTATGGGCTCCCCTACGGGTGCTGCTAGGGAAAAAACTTCGGCACCGGTGCACGTGGCGAGCACGCACATCTATTGTGGAATACACATGAGCAATCACTCGAAGAACTATTATGACTTATAAAGAAAGTTAAGAAATTCAAAATTTCACCTCAAACTACCTTTCTTAAACTATATTCACTGCTAGAAGCTATATCTACATCTTGCAAATCTCTTGCCTTGATTACTGTAACTTTCTGTCCCGACTACCAAATCCAGTTTATCCAAAATGTTTCAGTTAAATCAGGGGTAGGCAACCTATGGCACACGTGCCAAAGGCGGAACGTGAGCTGATTTTCAGTGGCACTCACGCTGCCCGGGTCCTGGCCACCGGTCCAGGGGGCTCTGCATTTTAATTTAGTTTTAAATGAAACTTCTTAAACATTTTTAAAACCTTATCTACTTTACATATAACAATAGTTTACTTATATATTATAGACTTATAGAAAGAGACCTTCTAAAAACTTTAAAATGTATTACTGGCAAGCGAAACCTTAAATTAGAGTGAATAAATGAAGACTCGGCACACCACTTCTGAAAGGTTGCCGACCCCTGAGTTAAATCAACCCAGGAGATATCCAAGATCAGAAAAGGCTTTTATAGGAAAGGGCAGACTGGTGATTTTAGAAAAGCAACAGTAAAAGGATTTAGCAAGAGACTAAGTTAGGGGAGAAAAAGAAGAATAAAAAATGTACTACAAAAATAAGCTGAACATATTTTAAGAAAACAGAAAAATGTCAGTGATTTTCTATCAAGCCTTCTATAAAACACTTCTTAAATAAATGTTTAAAAAGATAACATTACTTAAAAGCTTGTTGAAATTCCAGTATTTCTATGGCTTGAGCTCATTACAAGCAAACTGTAATGTTGCTAACAGTCATGAAGATATATAGGATGGGGAAAATATATTGCGCACACAAAAAAAACTATGGAGAACATGGTGACTAATGCTGGATTTATGTACATTTTAACAAAAAGTTTTGCTTTCTTTTTGTTTGCATTTTAAGCAAAAGTCTAATAATTTTAGAATCAGATAGATAATCTGTACTTTTTTCCCCTAGGAGCCAATGTTTTCCTGATTCCATTTCCCCTTCTATGTGTAACATAAGAACTAGTGAGTGTGTGTGTTCCTCTTTCTGCTGCCAGATGGAATTAGACTTACCTGTAAGAGGCAAGTTAGGTGCCTAACTTACTTAGGTCCTTCTGAAATACCACTAGGACCCTATCTACATCTTTAGGCTCCTAAAAATCTTTGAAAATCTGGCCCTACATCCTTTATAAAATGCAGCCACTAGACTGCAATGTGGTCACACATCTGAACAATGGTAAAACTGCCGAAAGTGCTTCAGTGACTTTGGTGCCCAAGTTCTATTTTCAAACCTGACTTAGGCACTTCCTAAGTCTCAATGACTTTTGATGGGCTTCTGGTTCTCTTCAGCACCTAACTAATTTTGAAACTGGAACTTGGGCTCCGAAGTCACCTAAGCTCTTTTGACAAAATTTTCCACAAATCTAATTCTATCCAGAGGCAGCTATGGTATACACATACCATTGTCTTACACAAAGAGGGAGGAAATTAATCAGAAAAGCTGTGTCTTGGGGCAGATGGGTATAGATTCTATCTAAAATTCTTAGATATCTCAAACTAGACAAGTACAAGTTGAAACACAGGCCTGTATATATTGAGATATTCAAAATCAGTGTCAAAACACGTACTACTTTGATTTTCAATATTATAATTCCTGATGTTTCTGTAAATTACAGTAGCAATTTAATGGAAATAAAACATTCATAAAACAAATTGTGAAGTTTTGATAACACTGTATTCATTTATGGAAACAGTGAATTATTCTAAAAACTACATAAGAACAGCCACAATGGGTCAAACCAATAGTCATTCTAACCAGTATCCTGTCTTCCGACCGTGGTCAATGCAAGGTGCCTCAGAGTACTCCTGGGGGAATTCCATGCTACTCCACAGGCACAGAATTCATGTTGTCCGCAGATTTCTTTGCTTCCCTGCAGAAAAATGACTTCTGAGGGGAAAGTCACAAGAGCAGTCATTCGCCCCACCCTGGCACCCCAGAGCAGCTCGCAGAGACAAATCAGTGGGGGAGGAGTGGAGGGAAGAGGGGCATGGGTGTGCATGTGTGGAGAGATGTCAATCACTGCTGGGGGGGTCAGGGCAGGACAGAGGGGCGTGCGAACAAGAGAGACTCTGTCCCTCTTGCTTGCTATTGTGGCGCACCCAGTGTGGAGGGGCAGATCTAAGGGTTATTTGGAGGTAGGCCTAAGGCAGGCTTGTCCCCTCAGGCAGAGCTAAATATAGCAGTCTGACTGCTTAGTTGTTTCCATTGTGTTAGTGAATAGTTCCCATTCTTAGTGAATTTCCCCAGGAGCATAAAACAGATGTAAAAGTTTTAAGGCTCCTTTACATTGCCTGAGTGGTGTAATGGAGCCTTATTGTAAAGGACAGTATGGGCTTATGGTGGTTTAGTGATTAGAACTGGTCTAAATTTTTGGACTGAAAAATTTTCCTATCAAAATGTGCTTCATGAACTGTTTACTACGGACCTTGCTGGAGATGGTCAGTAGCCAATATAAATTGTGAGTTTGATTCCCCAGCCCTTACTTGCTCTTCAGTTGCCGATGATGTAATACTGAGCATATGGCTGAATATATTAGTTGACTAATAACTAGAAATAAAGGGTCACACTTAGCTACATTATTATTAGATAAAGGCAGTTTGGGGATTTCCCTCCAATGCTCCCCATCCCCGTTCTTCATCCAGCTCAGCAGTCCACCTGCATCCCTGCCTGTGTCATATCTCCCTGTGTACTATCACAGAATAGCAGAGATCATCCTGAGGCACTTTTGCTGATAGCTTAACTTTATAGACCTTTAGAGTGGTACAAGACATCTTTTTGGTCAAGCACATGCTTGATTTAAAATCTTCAGTACGTTATTTATGGTTAGTTAAGGAATACAAGGTCGGGGCAGTTACTCAAAAATATGCCAGCTAGTGGGTCTCCAGTGGGTCATCTTCAGCTGGGGATGGCAAGAGCGTAGCATGCTGAGCATACTCCTTCCCCCACCCTTCCTTGTTTCCTATGTAGGGATTGGCATAGGACAGTAGCCAGGACTCTTCTATACCAAGGGAATCCTCAGCTAGGAAGATCTATGTGCTTTCTGGCTTTTTTCCTGTGCGAGAGAGGTTAGATTAGCGGTCAGGATCTATTTTACTTATTGTGACTTTTTTCTACATTGTAGTTTAAATAAATTACCAAAATTGCAACAGGTATGATTATATTGTGTTATTTTGACAAAGAAAATATGCAGAATTTTAAAGTATTGTGCGCAGAATTCCCCCAGGAGTACTCAGAGTGAATGAACAGAACAGGCAAATCATTGAGTGATCCCTCTCATTATCCACTCCCAGCTTCTGGCAATCAGAAGCAAGGGACACCTGGAGCATGGGGTTGCATCCCTGACCATCTTGGCTAATAGTTATTGATGGACCTAACCTCCAACTAATAAAATTAAACTGCTTTTAAATCGTTATTGCGAGCCTCAATATTTCCTACGCAAGATAGGAGACAGCCTGGTAAGTTTAACTCTTTGATGTACTGTATAGCAATATGATAAAGCCAAATACAGTGATATGACAAATCCAAATTGTAAGTGATGTCTGTATCAAGTAGAAAAATATCTTTGGATTGTAAAATATTTATTTTTTCCTTAAAATCTATATCCTAGTGACCATAATGCCTCACTTCAACAACAGCTTTTGCTTTGTATATTGTAATGGCATGTTGCACCATAGAACACTTTCTGTTGGTCTGCAGTAGTAGTGAAATAACTGAAATTCTTGCTTATGTGTACTGATGCTGATGCACATTCATTTATTTTCCTGTATCAACATATAGTATGCTCTAATGCAGTACAGGCTAACAAAAATATCTTTTAGATAGAGCTTTGGTTAAAAACAAACCAACCAACCAACAACCCCAGACTATAGTCAGAACCAAAATTAAAGCACATGAAGTTTCTTTAATGCAGGATTTCTTAAACACCCCCTCCAGCTTTCTGTGGGTGCCCTACAGAGATCTGTCCTTGGTTCCTTACTCTTCTCCCGCTACATCTTATTGCTGGGTTCTCTCATCCAGAAACGAATTCAACTACCTCACAGATGATTCAGAGATCTATCTGTACTCCAGACCGGTTTCCTGCTGTCCAAACTAAATCTCAGCCTCTCTCTCTGACATCTTTTTGAGAATGTCTAGCTGTGAGCTCAAGCTCAACATGGCTAAAACAGAGTTCTTACTCTTCCTCCCCCTAAGCTGTCCCCCTGCCTGACCTCCTTTCTGGATCACTGACACCACCACCATTCTACTCTGACTGAGGTGTATAACCTGGGTACCATCTTTGAGTTGGGACTCTCTCTAGAGCCTCACATTCAGGCTATGTCTAAGTCTTGCTGATTCTTTTTTATTTTTCAGATATGGCCCTTCCTATCCACCACACAGTTAAATCTCTCGTCCAGGCTCTCATCATTTTATGTCTCAATTACACAACATCCCTTTCTCTGGCTTTTACAAATGCCATCTTGCCCTGCTGGTAATGTTCTTTACAACAGCATTCTGAATGGTTTTGACCATGTCATCTTTCTCTTGCAGGATGGATTGATTTAAATCAAGGAGATATAAATTGCTGATTTAAATAATGATTTAAATCACCAAGTGGAAAGCTTCAATTTACATCAGATTTTAAACAACTTTTCCGTTGGTTTTTCAATTGTTTTCTAAAGAAAGGTGCAGTCTCACTGGTTACACAACCATTAAAACATGTTGATTTACAACTAAATAGAGCCTTTATACTAGATTTGGTACATCTTTTTGCTACCTCAAGTGGTATAGCATAACCATATACATTTATTTAAGCATATTTTCAGATTCTAATTGTACACATTTTTAGTATATTAGAAAATGGTGAATGATATATTGCTTATTTACTAGATAACTTTTTGCTCAAGATTTGTGTCAAACTGCATTAAGATGGTAACTGGAATTTAATTAAATACAAAACAGAACAAATTTTTTTATTAAACAAAATAAAGCCCTTAATATAGTATGTGACCTCCTGTGCCACATTTATAAAGCCTGACTTTCTAAAAAGTATTAAGAGATTATAAGTAGTTTAGGCCTTAACATAGTTTGTATCAAATTCAGATTTCATTTTAAACAGGTTTACTTTTAAAAAGGAAAGCTTATTACAATTTAAGTAACAAAATAAAAAAAAAAACACCAATTTTTATCCATCCTGCTCTCTTTGCATCCCTTCACTGGCTCCCTCTTCTCTATCATATCACAGTAGTTATTTGTCTTTAATTTCAAGGCCCTTCATGATCTATCCCCACCCTCTCTGTCCTTCAGTATAAAAGAAGTCAACTTCCATCTCCAATCAGCCCATGTTGTCAGCCTCCATTCTGCACTTGTTAAATTTTCAAACAAGCATCTTTGGGCTCTCTCATGTGCCCCTCACGCCTGGGAGAAACTTCCTTTAAACACTGACAAAATTAACTCCTCATCCTTCAAAACTCTCCTGAAAACTCTACTGTGCTATGATGACTACAAAAAATTTTACAACGGTTGGGCTACTGACGTGCTGAGACCATTGCTTATCATGCTGACCAGTACTGTCTCATTGTTTCCTTGTACTTCCCTGTCTGTACCCATCTGCTATCACTTGTTTTATATTTAGGTTATGAGCACTTAGGGGCAGGGACTGTCTTTTTGTTCTGTGTTGGTACACACCTGGTACAACGAGGTCCTGGTCCATGACTGGAGTTCTTAGTCGTGAGAATAATACAAGTAACAAAAATAATAAAGAAAGTACAATTATATTACCTTGTTGTGACATTGGAGGCCATGGAAGAACTTCCTGGTTTGGCTCAGGTGTAAGACTGTCAAACTCTTCTTTACTGATGAGATTTAGTTTCTTGAAGTTTTCAACCTCTTGCTGAATTTGAAGAGAGAATTTCACAATTACAAAAGTGACAATTGTGTATCAATCTAAAAACAGACAAGTTCACAGAATTGAGTTGCACCAGCATGCAACATGTCAAGCAGAATTCATTCACAATTGATCCTGCACAACCACAGTCCTTTCTGTTGACTTTGTGAGGTTGCACACAGCAAGCTTGTGAAAGAAAATGGAAGATGAAGCCGCCCCTGGACATGTGCAATGAGCTTGGCTTATAGAAGCAAAGTGTGCGCCCCTTAGTATTGTTTGCAATGACCAAATTCATGAAACTAGAAAAAGTTACCCTACTTTATAAAAGAGGAACAGAACCCTCATTTTCCCAGTTTCTGTCCTGTGCCAAACCATCTTTCCTCTATAGTAAGGTGTGCACAGGAAGATTCTGGCAGTTTGGGCAGGGGACGAAGGAGTGGGCATTTCCTATTTACTCTCTCTCCCCCCATTTCAACATTAAACACAAAGAATTTCAGGAGTAACTAGTAACTTTGGATGCCCAACTTGAAATTCCTTAAAGATGCCTGTTTTTTCAGAGGGTGGATGCTAAATACTTTCTGAAAAATGAGGCCTCTTTGAAGTATCTCAAGTTGGGAACCCAAAAATCAGTGCACCCAAAAAATAATCACTAAGCACTTTTGAAAATCTTGACCAACAATTAAAAGAATGAGGTGGGAGAAAACATTTACCCCTCTATTCTTTCTACTGTCCTCTTGCAGTTTACTGTACAGTCTACAGACACCTTGCATTTTCGATCTTTATCTATTCCTTATTTTCTCCTATATTCTTTCTTCTTCTTTTCCCATCCTTGTATCTATTTCCCCTTTTCTTTAGTAACTCCCATTCTTTTGTCCTCTTTCCTTGTCCCATACTGAAATAGGGTCCTGCCACCATGATTTGCCTCAATCCAGTGCTCAACAAAGGTGGAAAAAATGGAAGTACAAACACTATCCTAAATACGATGGTAATCCAGCTCAGCTGCCTGTAAACTTGCCACTCACAGCGCTGCCCAAAGTCAGAAGTGGATCTGACAAGGAGCAGGGAGGACTAACTCACAAAGAGGGGTTCCTTGGAATGACTGATTAGTGAGCAACATGTGACAGGGCAGGAGTGGAGAAATCTGAGTTCCTGAGGTTCCAGCAGCTCAGCTAGCTTGCTGCCACATTCACTGGCCAGCTACTTGGTGTAAAACCACCAGTGTGTTTAAAAATCCATTGGTTATAGACAGAGGTGTTTGTCCTTTAGGGACACAGGCAGGGGTGAAAGTAACTTAAAGGACTTACCGGTATGCCGGAGTCCTGAGTGGAGGTGGCCTCAACCGGAAGAGGTGTGACCTCAATGCAAAGAGGCGGGGCCCTTCAAGTTTTAAAGGCCCTGGGGCTCCAGCTGTGGCTGGGAGCCCCAGGACCTTTAAATCACCCTGGAGCTACCAGCTGCAGAGGCAGCTGGGGGCGAATTAAAGGACCCAGGGCTCCGGCCGACACGGAGCTCTGGGCCCTTTAAATCACCACGGGAGCCCTGCCACCGCTACCCCGGGGCGGCAGGGCTCGGGCAGCGGTAGCCATAGCAGGGCTCTGGTGGTGACTGAAAGGGCCCGGGGCTCCGGCCGCTGCGGGAAGCCCCGGGCCCTTTAAATTCCCGCCTGAGCCCAGCTGCCAGAGCTCCGGCGGTGATTTAAAGGGCCCGGGGCTCCCCGTAGCAGCTGGAACGCTGGGCCCTTTAAATCCCCGCTGGAGAAGCCGGTCCAGTCTGGCACGACATACCGGCTCTTGCCAGTACGCCGTGCCGTACCGGCTTACTTTCACCTCTGGACACAGGCCACCTTAGTAGTATTCCATATTATAGTATATGGACTAAACTTCTGCAGGTTCACTCCTGTTTTATGGATCCACAGATGGGCAAGGAAATAGAAATATAGATTAAAATGAGGTTGTGGGTATTAAATCTGGCATTTTACTTGCACTTTCATGCCACCTAACTTTATAGATGATAAAAAAAATTGAAGATAAAATTTACAATGCAATGACTTCAGTTTCATTCCCTCATACTCTACCCTATCCCCAAAACAGGGAAATCAATTTGTCTTTCCTATGAACACATTTAAAAATTTTATTAAATACAAGCTGTTTGAGCACATGTAAAGTCTGAATTATCTATTGTATACTCTTAGCATTCAAACACTACCCCACCAGCCTAAAATACCCTATTGTTTAAAACAAACTATTCCTTCACTGGCTTAGATCTAAGTTTGAGGGTGAAGAGATACATTTATCTTGAATTTAGCAACCTCTGCTACACCTAGGGTCTATAATAGAAAGCATGACAGATGATATGCAGCCATTTGCAAGTAATTAAATTGCAATCGTAAGTTAAAATTAAACAAAATAATTACAACATATACTATAGGTATACATATGATAATTATTTTCTATTTTCTTCCACCCAATTAGATTTTTGATAGTATAAGTAGCAGCAATAATAGTCAATTTTAGGCTTGTTTGGTCAAACATCTGTTTAAGTTGTATGACAGAAAAAATTACCTTTATGGCTGTAGAATCATTTTCACCCTGCTCCATCCATAAATCCTGTTCATAATAGTATAAACCATCATTAATAGCTTTAGCAAGTTCTGATGTAATTTTTGCACGAGACACATGGTTGCCAGTGCGATCTCCACCAGGATGTTTTCTCATATAAGGTGGTGTCTGTGTTACAATCAAAATTTTGTTTACATCGTGGTCATCAATTTCATAATCTGAATCATTGTCTGACCAATCAGTAAATGTATTTTTGCGACCTTCTATTTGTTCCATCTCCTCATCAAACAAAAAATCAAGCTCTTCTTGTTCTTGTTCCTGTGAAGGTGGGGCCTGCTGTTGCTGACTTGGTGTGTGCTCTAGTGTATGCACAGATTCCTGAATGAAGAAAGGTAACATATGACATTTTCTTTGGGAAACAAATTACTTGGTTATTCTGTTACTTCTTTTAATGGATATTGACAGGATTATCTCAATGGATGAAAACAACAAACCTTAAGAGGAACATTTTGAAAGGCATTTTCAAAGGCACAAATGGCTGTTAGCTGTCTAATTGCTGTTGACTTGCAAGGGTTTCTTAAGCTTAGTACAAAGACAAAAATTACAGTGCTAAGGTCCATAGAGAATTCTGACACCAGCTTTTCACTAAATTCTCTCTCACACTGTAAAACATATAATTTCTCAACAGAACCTAAACACCTCCAGCTGTGCCACTGCATATGGGCCCTATTTTAAGGCCCAGTTCACTTTCCAAAATTAAGAGTGGTCTTTCCTTCTACTTTTAAATACTCTTAAGATTCCAAATTAGGATAAATTATTACATATATATTATGTATATTGTAATATCAAGTTAGGTGATCCATTATAATATGAACAGTTCTTTGTTCAATATAATGGACAGTTTTATGATCTGGAGCAAATTTAGTTCATTCTGCTCATACAGACTGCAAGTATCCTGAAGAGTGTTAATTAGGCTTATGTGAAGGTATCAGCACTCCCTCTCACTACATAGCAGTGGTATACTGTAGTATTGAAAATATGCAAACAACGAATTTTTTAGGGGGGAGGTGTTTTAACATTTTATCAAGGTAGCTAACAGTACCTTTAGTTTGACTGGGGATGGACGATGCCTCTTTTTCACTTCTATCCAAGGCTCAGAGTCCAGATCTGGCAAGCTTGTAGACAATCCTTTAGACATTGTTTGAAGGTTACTTGTTTCAGTGCTTTTCTTTGGGCTTCCCATTCTTGGAGAACTTGGTGCAGACTCTAAAATTGTAAATTAGTTGTGTATTCAGGTTTTTCTTTTTTTTGTTGCATTAGAGATTTTACTTTCATTGTAGCTATAATTCCTATTTCTAATTAAGGTTTAAATATGACACTGATCAGAACAAATTAAAAAAAGACTCAATTACTTGCTATTCTATATTTTAAAGAACAGTTTACATTGGTGACTCCAGCATAAATTAAAAGTGCCTCTGACGGCCTGAGAGATGGAAGTTATCCATAAAACAAACAGCATGATTAGTGACAAATTCAGTGCTCTGTATTTGGCAGTGGTTCGAGCACTGCTAGAATATTGTGTGCAGTTCTTGTGACAACAATTCAAGAAGAATATTGATAGAGTTCAGAGAAGAGCCACAGAATGAACAAAGGATTAGAAAACAAAGTCTTATAGTGACAAACTCAATGAGCTCAATCTATTTATCTTGAGAGAGAAGGTTAATGGATGACTTGATTACAGTCTGTAAGTACCTACATTGGGGTGTGTGGGGGGGAATATTTAATAATGGGCTCCTTCAATCTAGCAGAGAAAAGTATAACACAATCCAATGGCTGGAAGTCCAAGGTAGACAAATTCAGACTGGAAATGAGTAAAATTTTTAACCGTGACAGTAATTAACCATTGAAACAATACACTCAGGGTTGTGGTGGATTCTCCATCCCTGACAATTTTCACATCAACATTAGATGTTTTCCTAAAAGATATGCCCTAGGAATTATTTTGGGGACGTTCCATATCCTGTGCTATACAGGAGCTCAGACTAGATGATCACAATGGTCCAATTTTGGCCTTAGAATCTATGAATTATTCTGAAATCAGTTTGAGGTGATCATCAGTCATACACTAGAGATGAGTCCTATGGATAGGGATATATTACAGCTGGCTCCTTTGGGGAAATATATGTTTTAATAGAGTTAATGTTATAAAATATGACAAGCAAAGAAATTCAGTTTTAAATCTGAAACTGTCTTGACTCTCTACATCTTTCCATTTGCCAAAGAGAAGGTAATCTTACAAAACATGCACATCTCTTGGAAAAACATTCAACCTTAACCACAAGTTTACTGTCTTCTGGCACACTGTGCCTTTCTAACTGCCAGCCTTGCAATTCCCATTCCAACTAGCAGAGTTGAATTTTATACTTGCTATTCCTATTATGAAATCAAATATTAATGAAAAATAAAATGCAGACTTGTTGGACTAGACAGCACTTTCCGTCCTAAAATTTTGTGTTTCTATGAAAGAAATTCTTTACCAGTATATGAACCAAAAGCTTTGCCTGGTATAAATTCTGGGCAGTTGATGAGCTGAGAGAAGTCAGTTTGTGGCTGATTCCGTGAAGGTGGACCAGGAATTGGCCATTTTTCTGGGTCTACCCTTTTTCTCATCTTCTGATCCACTATTTCCACTTCTGTACTATCCTTTAGGGCCTGTGAGATAAACATGTTTCACCATTAAAAAATATACACAATCGCCAACACTGCTGATAACCATATCTTTCACTCTCTCAGTGAAATTAAACACACTCCCATGATTATCTGGGAGGGAATTTAAACTATGTCGTCCTCTACAGATCTTTACATTACTGTCCGATATGAGTAGGAACATTTTCAATGCAAATGAGTGTTAGGCTCTCAAACACCTGCATGCCAGAAATTAGTGACTATTTTAAAGAAAACTTACCTTTAAATTAGGACAACCTGGACGAGTCAGTATAAAACTCAGCACCACTTATTTTCAGTACCATAATTTTAATTATTGTGGCATACAGTTTCAAATATTAGCTGCTAGTTATATTTTTGAGGCCCAGACGCAGAGCACCAATTAACCAAAATTGATGATTCTTTATAATTCCTTATTTAAGGGACAGCGTTCACTCGGAATATGAAGCAAACTGTTTTTCTGGACAATTAAACAATGAAATGAAGTTGAGGAGTTCAGCAACTGCCAAAGTAGTTTATTGCAATTATTTTCCAGTGTTAATGTGATATGACAAAGTTGCAAGAAACAATACCAAAAAAATATTGCTTGACTTACAAGGATTTAGAAGTTGTGTAACTTTTTTCTTCATTTTTGGCGTTTGATGAAAAACAGGGAGCGGAGTCAAAAAGTGAATAATTTTAGGTAGTCTGTATAATGGAACTAACATGAAGTTGGTTAGTGTAAGGCTGAATGGGTAACTGGTATTAATCTCCTCTAAACTCCAAGGGAAATGGAAGGATAGAAACCAACTGCTGAGTGTGCCCTACAGTGTTGGTTTCTCCTTCCCTTTTTGCTAATAGGTTTACAATTTGGGTAGCTGTGCAGCTTGCTGGTGGAGTTCTCCTTTGACATGAGGGAGGATGCAGTGATTGCTGCTAGCTGGGAAACTCCATTCTGAGTCACGTGGAGAGAGCTGACAGGCCACAGCTTTGTTGACCTTTGAAACCTATAGCTTGCCTATGAGTCAAACTCCCACAGTGCTTTGGGAATCATGCTAAGAGGAGGGGAAATAGTTTGCTGAGAACTACTAGAAAAGATCTGACAATTTACAAGGATTGTTAAGATATATTATTTTTAGTGATGCATTAACAACAAGAAACATATGCTTAGGTTAGAATTTAATATGTTTGTTTATCTCTTTTCTGTAAACATTTAAATATACTGGAAATTTATGGGTAAAAATAAGATGTTATTTCCTGTTTTCCCATACAGAGAACAAAATTGTAAACAGGCGGGCTACAAGAATGTCAATTCATAAGCCAATTCAGAACAAAAACAGTGCAAGCTAATAGTCATCGGCTGCAAAAACAGGTTCTCACAAATTGTGGTAATGTATCTGTTATTCACTGTCCAGTCTAATAGACTAATAAAATTCAACCAAGCTGACTGATCTGACATCTCTTTAAATTACTAAGTAAATTCAAACCCTTGTGGGGAAACACTGGTGGCCCATACAGGGACCTCAGTAGCCAGTATTGACTGAACCTGACAAAGCAGGATCATAACCTACTTGCCAGGAATAAGATCAAGCAGTAGGGAAGTTGGAAACGCTGACTGAGAGGCATCTAGAAAACGCAGCACATCCTGCTGCCAGGCACCTTGTGGGGGATGTAAAGGTAAAATAAGAAATAACGGATAAAGTGAAATGCTAACCTGTGAAACACCGTAAAAAGTAAAATTCTGACTGCTAATAGTAATAAAGGAGCTCTGAAATTCAATTAGGTACTAAAACCTTTAGTTTTGAATTACTTGGCAAATTCATTCAATATTATTTTAACAAGGTTAACTCATCTAACCTTTATAAAGATTTGTTTTTCAAGGGTGAAATTACCCAAGAAGTTTGTTATCTACATCCTGGCATGTCCAAAGTAAAAAATTCCTAACTTTTCTTTTTGCAGGTTTTTGTTTTTCTCGTGTTGGTGTGGCTCTTTAACACAGCAACAGAGAAGAGAAAGTTTAAGAATGGGAATTAAAAAAAAAAAACAACACAAGAAAGGGCCAGAGCATGACCATAAGATCAGTGTATTAGTTAAAATTGTAATCTAAACATGTTTTTAGTAATGCCATCATGTCTGAGCCATGTTAAAAGAAAACAGCTAAAAATATGAAATTACAAGATTTGCATTCCTTTATCCTGACGCCAATATTTAAATTACCATAACAAAATTTCTCAATTATTGCACTGTTCTATTTTTGCATATTCTTAAGAAAAAAATCTAATTTAAAATACGTGATTCTACAATCTCAAAAATTGGCAGGATGACTCAGATAGGTGAAGTACCTGAAACTTTAAATTCTTATTTTACACTTACTAGAATCCCTTACATTTCATTTTATGACTTCAATTTTAATTGAATAACTTTGTTACATACAAAAGATTTCAAGTTTGTTTCTAAAGAAAGATAATTAGAAACAGACATAAGTTGGCAGTAAGTTTCCAATCAGTTCCTATTTAGCTGCACACACATTTTCAATGCATCTCTTGTGAAGAAAGTACATTACAACTTAAATGTTTTAACAGTATGCACACGTCAAACCCTCATACTTAATCAAAACCAATTGTTTTGAAATCTACGGAGACAGTACTCCTCTCAGTGAGCACGGTTTCCACGCAAAATTTCAACTTAAAAGTTTACTCAGTTCCCCCCACCCCTGCAAAAAAAAGTTGTTACAGAACAATATACAATCAAACATGGCTCAAAATTAGCTCAATTCTTCCCCTTCTGCCCCCCCAAAAGGAAACCAAGAAACCAAGCATGGAAAGTTTTAGCAGAAAATGAATTTTCAGAATATTATGAGAAATTTTAAACAGAGGATCAATGAAAACCATTTTGCAACCTTAATTATAGCAAATACTTTAGAGCAATTGCTCTAGTAAAATGAAGGTTACTAACCTGTAACTGCAGTTCTACAAGATGGACTCCACACATTCATGCTTTTGGGAAGCACTAGCAGTACAACTCATAGTAAAACCTTCTTGTAGCAGTGCCCACTGAAGAGCTCTCACATCTCCCCCAATCCTTCTCTTCATTGTTCCTGAATGTTCTGAGGGCAAAAGTATAAAAGGGGATATGGCCCTCTGGTCAGCTCAGTTCCCTTCACTGCTTTCTTAGGTCCAAGATTTTAATTAGGATTCTGAAGTAGAGAGGAAGGTGGGCAGAGAGTGTGAATGTGTAGAATCCATCTTGAAGAACTCCAGTTACAGGGGAGTAACCTTCATTTCTTCTTTCAGTGACCTCTACACATTCCCACTCTTGGCATAGTTTGATAAGCAGTACTGTCAATTGAAGAAAATGGTACACTGCATCCTATTTCAAACAGTGACTGAGTACTGACCTACCAAATGCACATCACGTATCAAGATCCTAAATCAAGCGGACAACATTTAGTAAATATGTGTACAGAGCACTATGTTGCAACTCTGCAGATTTCAATAATGGGAATATGTTTAAGCCATACTATAGAAACTGACTTAGCCCTAGGGGAGTGTGCCCCCACTCTTGCAGGAAGAGGAGCAGAAGCTAGTTTGTAACTCTCCTTCATATGTAGTCTAACCCATTTGGAGAAGCATTGTGATGGGATTGCCTATTACGATTATCTATATGAAATAAAGTGATCTGAGGACTTTCTAAAGTCTAGTTCTTTTTCAGATAGAAGGCTACTGCCTATTTAGCATCTGATGTGTGCAGTTTTGATTCATCTGAAAGTGCAATAAGTCTGGGAAAGACTGTAGACTAATTGACTAGTTAAGATGGAAGACAGTTACCACCTTGGGCAGAAATTTTGAATGTAGATAAAGGAACACTGTTTCTATGGAAAACTGAACAGTGGCTCTTCCTTCAAGGCTTGTAGTTCGCTTATGGTTCTGGCAGATGTTACTGCTACAATGAATGCTGTTTTGATTGATAGATAAAACACTAAGCACTCAGTTTCAGATGATGGTCTCAAATTGAATAAGGACTAAGTTAAGGTCCCATGATGACGCAGAATCCTTGTCTGGCACTATACCCTTCCTAAACCTTTAAAAATCCTTCATAGACCTTTAACACTATACCTTTCGTAGACCTTCTCCACCTGGGGTAAGAGCATTTACGAGTAGATTGCTTTCTGGAGTTTAGCAGGATGTGTTGTACATCTGACAAACCGTCTCTCTCTAAATCAGTGAGAGTGTCCTACAGATCTTGCTGCTAGGTGTACCACAGGTCCATATGCAAAATCCAGCCATCCTGCTGAGGATAACAGATCTGCGGTTGCTGGTAGAGAACAGTATACTACACCTTGAAGAGGTGAAGGAGAGCTGGTAAGCACTTTTGTCTTGACCATGCCTGAGCAACCAGAATTACTCTGTTTTCATCTTCTGTTTTGTTCTTTGGATTAAAAGAAAAATGGGTAAAGGTATGGAAAAGACCTAATCTCCAGCTGAGTAGGAATGAATTTGAAATGGAGCAGAAGCTCAGGCATCTGGCATCGTGTCTCATTGTGACCAGATCTACTTCTGGATGATGCCAAAAAGTGAAGATTTTCTTTGCAACTGATGTATTTAGAGACCATTCATTAACTCCTCTTAGTCTTTGCTGAGACAATCCACCAGCTTGTTTTTCTCCATTAGCTGAAGAGCTATCAGGTAAATATGAGGTATGCACCAGCTTTGTAGCACTGTAACATCTTTATGTAGTTGTGAGGAATGAGCTCCTCCCTGTTTGTTCACATTGAACATCGCTGTCGAATTGTCAGAGTACTTTGTCTTGTGAGGCAGAAAGGCTCTGAGAGCTAGACTGATTACCTTCAACTCCAATACACTAATATGTAGCTGTTTTTCAAAGTGCTTCCAATGACTGTGGGTTATTAGGTCATTGAAATGCACTCCCATCCCAGAGTGGATGCATCCAACTGATAGTTGCTGATGGGAGTGGAGGCTCGAATGCCACTCCTTTCAGGATGTTGACTGTATCCATCATGTAAGAGACAAGAGCTCCTCTTCCGGGAGAAATAACTTAAGGACATGCTGTCTGAACTTGGCAGGTAATTTTTCACCAGCCTATGTTACAGAGCTCTCATTCTGAAATGAGCACATGGAGTTATATAGGTTGTTGAAGCCAGCTCGGCCTGAGGAAGAACATTACCGTCAGGTTGGGGTTCCCCTGAAGTCTGATAATGGCATACTGAGTTTTTAAGGATCTTTCCTTTGGAAGGAAGACTTTTCCTGTTTAGGAATCTAAAATTACCCTGAAGACAAGGATTTACTGTGTAGGACTTCTATTCCTACAACTATTTGCAGATCCAACTTGTCCTACTGATAGCACAGAGGCATTGGACCAGACATTCAGAATAGTAGCACTCGTTACAGAAAGAGTACAACATGCTTTTAGGGATTTACGCTGACCAGCCACCTTACGCTTCGGTCTAGGATCTAAGGATGTTATAGGACCCAATCCAGAGGAATAAGAGCAATTTGGAACAGTGACTGGACCTACTGACAGGGGCTGGCATTATGTACCACAACTCCTCCCAAAACCAGGAGTACTGGATTCAAGGGAACTCCTAACAAGATCAGCTCTGCTGAGACTGACACCTGGACCATTCTGCTACATTAGGAATGAGGATCCTTTGGTACCAAGGGCTTTATCACCCTTCTTCCTGGATCAGAGGATGGTATCTTGAACAGAAACTTAGGAAGCTTCCTCTTAGTTCCCAAAAGAATGGGGGCCAATGCAGGCCACTCCTTACTCATGGAACCAGATTCATCAGCACTAGAGGACTTGGTCTATAGGACCTCCTGCAGCAGGAGGGCTTGGAGCAGATTTTGACACTCCTTATGGGTTCTTGAAGTAGAAGTCCTGCATACTGTGCACTGGAAAGGAAAATGTCCCTACGATAGCACACGAGACACCTCGTACGAGTGGGGGAGAAAAGACAATAGTGAAGAGGCACATCTTAAATCCTGACTACCTTCCCGTCAGATCTGCCTCAGAATATGGTAACCACCCTGGGGTGCAGAACCTATAAGTATCCTGATAATTGTAAAACAAAACACATTTCAATAAAATAAAACAATTAAACTACTCCTAAAACTAGCTAATAGCACAGACTTGCTTGAAAAGGTGGATCTGGAAGGGTTCCAGTCTGTTTGCAAATGTAGCTGAAGAAACTGAGACAGCTGGAGTGCCACCTACTTTATAGCCTCATCCTCAGAATACGCACAGTGAGGGAGTGGGGGCAGGAAGGAGTGCAAGAATGCTCCAATGGGTCTGGCTATGAATCGTTCCACCATCAGAGCTGCACTGCTGGTGCATCCCAAAGTGGGAATGTGTAGTGGTCAAAGAATTAAAAAACTTTTCCATTCATGGTCTACTTATTGGATCCTTATCAGCATAACCCAATTCTTGTTAGCATGGATTGACAAACACCTAGTACCTGGAGGACTAACTGGTTGGAGGTACTAGACTGAAGGTGGGTGGGGAGGAGAGAACATACCAATAAGGTTTAGCACCAATGAGCAGTGCAGTTTCCAGGCTACCTCATGATACTGTGATTTCTACTAGGGTGCTTTCCCTGGCTTGGGACTCCATCTTTCGGATCATCTCTGATAGTAGGTATCTGATAAATCTGAAGCTCACCACATAACCCCACCAGCTGCTGCGAGAAGCATCATTCTGGTCTTCTCCCTCTACAAAACTTCCTGGATGCTGAAGGGGAGGCATGAAAAGGAAGGGCTCTTCAGTTCTCTAACCTTCTCCCAGACTCTTGGCTGCTGCAAGAAGGGGAGAGGAAAGTTTCTACTGCTCTCCACCTCCTCCAGTCTCTGTTTTTTGAAATTTTCCCCACTCTGTGAATCACTACTTGTCTACCTGTTGCTATGCAGCTTTACCAACAGCAACGTGAAACAGACATGACTGACAGTTTCACTACTGCCTACCGATTTCTGAAAAGCAATAGCAAAGCCCTTTTGTTAGTTTTACTTTGCCACTTCTTGGCAAAGCTATGAGCAGCAGCAGTGCCATCTGCTAGCAGACAGCACTGCATCAGTTTATACTGTTCACAGCTGGAAGGTTCTTCGTGTAGCCTTAATTGGCTGGCAACTTTTAAAAAAAAAACCCTATATTCTGAAGAAATTGCTTGTTTAGGCCAGCCACGCTCACCAAGAAATATTTACACCCTGCCACTTGTAAAAAGGTGAATGGAGTTTTCAAGATTTGATTGTAATACATTTTAAACTATACAACATTTGTACACATGCATTTAAATCACTTTACCTCTAAAATTAGGTTAACATTTGTAGTCAGAGCTTGCACACGATGGAAGCTGGCAATTAAAGAAATAGGCAAGAATCCTTGTTGGTCCATCTTTCTCCTCAGAAAAAAGTCTCTTTCCAAATTTTCTATGCTGAAATAATACTCACTGGAGAGAGAAACATGTAAATATGAGCCCAGTGTAGGGTATAGTCTCTTTAATTTTTAATCCAAGTTCATCCTTGTCAAAATCTTAATAAAATATACCAAGTTTTGTAATAATCAAAAAGATTGATATTTATCACTGTATGTTTGTTACTTATGAGCTAAAAGTTATAAAAACAGCCTAGGTAATCAAATAAGCCAAATGAAACAGTACTTTAAGGTCATCAGTACAGTACATTCATCCGAGGTATAATCGAGGCCTCATTTCTCATTCGCCCAATTAGCATAAATGAATGACAAAAGCAAAATAGAAAAGCAATATCCCTTTTCTGATATTTCTTTTCTCCTTCTTACATGGATGAGAGGGAAATGGTATTCTCTAAGCATTCATGTGGATGATGCCCCATATAGTTGTATCAATATCTCCATCCTGATCTGCATCTTTTTCTACTACTCAGGTAGCCAGCAGATCAGAATGTTTAGGTGCCCTATCCTAGAGTGAAGGCATAGGCACAAGCATGCAGTCTAGATCATATCTTCATGCAAGCTCAGGTGAGAAAGAAAGCAAGCAGAAAAATACACTTTCCTTTGTTCAGTACACTGAGGCGTAGTGCCTGAATGCTCCAAAGGGTACTTGGCAAAAGTGAAGTTCTTCAAAAATAAAGGATATTAAGGGAGTGAGACGTGGGAGGGGGAAAAAGGTGCAACAGGCTCTCTAGGTATCCCAGGTCAGGGGAGGGATAGGTTGAGGGAAGAGGAAAGAGTCTCTAGGGTGATTAAGTTGCTTTATGAAATGATCCCAAAATGTCAAGATCTACCAAATCAAATGATGGTGTAAAGACATGAAGGAATTATAACTGGGAGCCACTACAGAAAGATATAAACCTGAAGACATCCTGGGAAAAGATAAGGAAGCTCAAACTGGCAATGGCTACCAAAAAGCTGGGCCCCTCTGACAGATCCTGTGTGAGACTGTTTACATGCTCCCTAATTTCTTAGGGTGGAAAATACCTTGTATGAATGTGGTCCTTTAGGAACTGGATACTTTAGGAAAAAAAGGGAGTTGAGAGTAGAATGCTGAGAGGATCTGAATGCTGAAAAGGTAAGGCATTAATGTAGATTAAAGGAATTTTGGTTTCTGGAGAGAATCATATTACGTGAAGACCTCTCATGAAGTTGAACTAAAGACAGAAGGTACCAAAAAGGGGACTGCAATGTCACCATTGACTCTGAGCTGTAAAGGAGGAACCCAATTTATTCTTTCATAGCCTTCAGTACCCAAAGAAGTTTGAAGAGCTAGCCCTCTACATGAAAGACTTAACTCCAGCAGAGAACAGATACAAAACTTCAGAACTGGAAGAGATGTAAGCCTCCTCTTAAAGTCTGAACCAGCACAGAAGAGTCTTTAAGGCTCTTTTTACCTGAAAAGCAGCAACTTCTTCAGCATGCTGTAAGCAAAGTAAACTTTGATCAATGAGGTCCCTGTGCAAACTGAATAGGACCCAACCTTTATTCCCTGCAATAATATTCCACATGCTATTCTGAATTCCTAACTTTTTCCAGCTGTAAGACAAAACAAGTACAGACCAGGGCCGCCCAGAGGATTCAGGGGGCCTGGGGTCTTCGGCGGCAGGGGGCTCCCGCCGCCAAAGACCCGGCACTTCAGTGGCGGGTCCCGGGGCAGAAGGACACCCCGCCGTGGGTCTTCGGGGCACTTCGGCGGCGGGTCCCGGAGTGGAGGGACCCCCCGCCGCCGAAGACCCGGAGCAGAAGAAGCTCCGGGGCCCGGGCCCCGCGAGAGTTTTCCGGGGCCCCCGGAGCAAGTGAAGGACCCCGCTCCAGGGGCCCCGAAAAACTCTCATGGGGGCCCCTGCGGGGCCCGGAGCAAATTGCCCCACTTGCCCCCCCCCGGGGCGGCTCTGGTACAGACACACTAACACTGTTAACTAATATGTTACCGTTACATCTATAAGGTAAAGGTAAAACCCAAGATGTGTTCGACCTAATCTCCCAAGTTCCAAAAGCAGGAATGAATAAAGGAAACTGAAGAAGTTGACTCAAACTCTTAACTACTTTACTGGTATCCACCATTGTGGAAGAGGGAATTTGAAAGAACATTAATGAAAATGTTTATTTTCATGTTCTTCCTGTTTTTCTCTAAAGTCTTTTGAACTTATTTTCCCTCCCCTCCGGAGATGCAAGTTTGGATATACTCCTGTGATAACTTTAAATGAAATCTACTTTTTGATGTGAACTAAAGCATTTTTGAAGAATCAACATAATGTTTGAAGTAAGTCTGATGCAATATATATTTAGTTACTTTTTTTTAAATAAATGTTAATATGCATACCTATAATAATCCTCCTCCCCAATCAAGTTGGTCCCTGTTACATGTACAGAATTGCTCTATCTTGACATTTTTGTTCTTTACTGTAATCAGAAATCCTCTCAAATCTCAGATGGAGATTTAACATTTTTCATATTAAGAGGTTAATAGTTCTAAAACTCATTTATACACAAGGATACAACCTTACTTATCCAAAATATCCTTACTTTCTTGGACTCCAAAAAGAACTCCTCTCTGGAGGGCTGAATATTCTGTACAAGTTTATTTTGCATGAACTTCTCTCTCTGGCATTCTAGCTTTCATAATTTATAATTAGAAAAATATCAGAAGCAGAATGTTAAAGATTTCCATTTAGATGACATTTAAAAAATAGTTGAAGAAATGTAGCTTTCCACCCCTTTGTTCAAATGCAACGAGAAAAGAAGAGATTATGGAACCTCACAGATTCCCAGAACCATTTGAAATGAGGGGAAAAAATGAAAAAGTTATATTCTAAATCTGCTCAACAGTATCTCTCATGAAAAGCAAATTCCACAACCAATGAATCTTAGGATTTCGAACAGGCCAGGTGACCAATGATGCTGGTTAACCAGCGATCTTAAGCCTTTAACTGACACTTGCCAACATCTTGTTATTTGTATTTTCTTTTAGCAACATCAGAAGTGACCAATGTGTCCGACATTTTGCTGAGCATCAGAGGGGGACATCAATCTGTCCTACCTTAGAAGATCTGGATTCTACACTGCATGCCCAAAAATCTGACCAACAGTGGAGCGTCTGTGCTCTTCCCTCACTTGTCTGAGGACAGTGGAGGGCGATTATCCTGACATGGAGCTGCATTGTCCACTGTCAGGTCTCAGAGGGGCCTGGCAGCAGGAGTTACAAAAAACTGCAATATAGGACTGAAGTTGATAGCCATATGTCAGATACTTTCTGCCCTTTAAGAGGCCGTTTTTTGTTTGTTTTTTTTGTTTTTTTGCATCGACTGTAACAAAAGAAGCCAGAGTAAAATAAGCAAATAGCTTCATGGAATACAAAGGCAATATAATCCACCACAAAGGCATCACAGAGAAATGCCACTGGCAAATGTAGAAGTGTAGAATATCAGCCTGTGGTGGAAAATGTCCCTTTTCAGTAGTGACTTAGTGCGTTCCAGGATTTTGCATGATATGCCTCTTTGCGATAATCGGCCTTCCAAATGGTTTCTCACTTCTTAATGATGTACATGGAAAAGTAAGTATTTCAGATTATTGAAAAATCAAGTATATGGCTCATTTAAAAACATTCTTATTTGGTTCTTTCAGGTGAAACACACTGACAAAATACAGAGCTGAAAAGATTTTTTTTAAAATGAAATTGAGAACAAATGGGGGAAGTCCCTTCAGAAATTTGAGCTACATACCCAGGAAAGAGTCTTACATGATAACAGACCAACAGTACTCTAAGGACAAGCAGACAGAGATCCATTCTCCAATGTCAAGCCCAAGTAAAGGAGGAGATGTACCATAAATAAGGAAGGTACGTGGATTAAAGGCAGACTATAGTGCCAGAAGGTTGAAGATCTTTCTCAAAGTTCCCACTTCTCAGATATTCAGGTTTTTTTCACCCCATTACTCAGCATAATTAAGCAGATATTTACTAGTAACGGATAAACCTCAAATGGTTGGTCGCTAGTATCTCCAGCGCTACTTAAGTGGTATACTGAAGACAGAGGTCAAACATTGTTTGAAATGAATTATTTTATCTTAAGTAGATGCCTGAATTTTGTCTAAAAAAATATTCATACATTTAGTGTACTTACATTTGACGTTTAATGTATTCTTTGAGCAGTGTTTCATCCACAGAATACATTTGTACTCCTGTTCCATCGTCATAGTAATACATCATACTAGCATTAAGTTCTGGTTGAAATGGCTGATTGGTCCTTTCACCATATAGTTCTTGGTAACCATACGAATACTCATAGTTCACTTAAAAAAGAATGGAGTGAGGAGTAAGGGGAAGGAAAATAATTTAAGATAAAGAGAAAAATCCAATACAAAAATATTGTAAGGGATATAAACAAATTATATTATTTGTGTAACAAGCATTCAGTATCTGTTCTCAATAAAAAGTGTTCAAGATATACTACTTGCAACGTGACATGCAAGCCACATGGATTAATATACAGGATTTGATTTGAGGCAAGGGGGGTTGTATAACTTAATGTTTAAATCTTAATATTAAGTTATATTTTCCATCTTTAACATCTACTCTCATACTTCGAGGGTTTCCTCTGCCACGCCCTCTTCCTCTGCCACGCCCTCTTCCTCTGCCTCTAAAGAATCCTCGAATGCTGCCACCTTCACTTCTCACACTGGAAACTTCATCATGGTCATCTCTTTTCTCTCTATCACGGCGCCAAGCTTTTAAAGAGAAAAAAAATAGTACTGTATAGACAATCAATTGAGAGGTTCTACCATGAATAAATAGCCTCAGAGAATTATTCCATGGGTATTAGGTACATAGTTTTGCACTCTAAAGCGTAAGTCAAACATCATAGAAGCTGACTAGTAAAGCAGGAAGTGATTTTCAAGTATAACGGATTTCAAAACAAAAACTTATGAATTGCCTTAGCCATTCCATATTTAAGGCTGACATTCGCTCTTTAACAATATTTTGAAATGTTTTAAAGTCCACAGGCACACTCGGATTCTCTTGGAAACTGTACTGCATCATTAGGATCCTAGGGTTGTTGTATTAATTTAGTTGGAATATGAGCGCTCTAAACAGCTAATATTTCTAAGTGTTCTCAAATCTACATCCATACTCAGATTCTTCTGAAAATTTCAATACCTCATCGTGACTAGGGATAAAGTTAGTAGTGCAAGTTTGGGATCATTTGACCAAGGTGTTCTGCAGATAAAATCAGCTCCCTCTGGGGCAGCTGTAACATTCAAATTGCTCTAAAATTCACATATATACGGTATGACATTGCACTCCATATATTTCATGGAAATATGCTAATGAGTGTGATTATAATTTAATGAATATGCTTTATGCAAAAGGTCTCTTGTAAGGTATCATTACAAAGCTTATAATCTACTGAGCGTGTTCATCCTATTTGTATCAATGTATCCTTGTATCTGCAACTAGTAATATGAAGTATAACTCTGGGGTCCTATTGTAATTATGCAAAGTATGAGCCATTAATAGTGGTTTGGAATCTGGATGGCTCCCACTGACTAGGACAATTGCCTGTAAATGGCTCTGTTTACTTGCAAACCTTCATGGGTGGGCCAGCTCATGGGTAATGAAGAATGAGATCTCACAGGACATATGACCACGTCACATAATACTGGAATCCATCTTAAACCTAGTGCTTTTCCATTTAGAAGGAGGGGTGGGGACCCAGAGAGACAAAAGATTCCTGCCTTGTGACAAAGCTATAAAAAGGGGGTGGAAGAAAACAAAGGGGGCTGCCAGTCATGAGAAAGCCCCTAGTTACCACCTGAGCTGGAACTAACAAGGACTGTACCACGGGAAAGGATTGGGCCCAGACTAGGAAGGAGTCTAGTTTGTGAAAGAAGCTTATTGGAACATCTCTGAGGGTGAGATATTACCTGTATCAGTTTCTTAATGTATTAGGCTTAGACTTGCGTGTTTTTGCATTATTTTGCTTGGTGACTTACTTTGTTCTGTCTGTTATTACTTGAAACCACTTAAATTCTACTTTTTATACTTAATAAAATCACTTTTATTAATTAACTCAGAGTGATTAATACCCGGAGGAGCAAACAGCTGTGCATCTCTCTCTACCAGTGTTATAGAGGGTGGACAATTTATGAGTTTACCCTGTATAAATAAGCTTTATACAGAGTAAAATGGATTTATTTGGGGTTTGGATCCCATTGGGAACTGGGTGTCTGGGTGCTGGAGATAGGTGATCTGCTGAGCAGTTTTTGGTTGAAGTCTGCAGCTTTGGGGGCGAGGACCAGACCGGGGTCTGTGTTGCAGCAGGCTAGCTTGTCCGGCTCAACAAGGCAGGGTTCTGGAGTCCCAAGCTGGCAGGGAAAATGGGCTCAGAGGTGATTCCAGCACATCAGGTGACAGTCCCAAGGGCATCTCTGTGACTGAACCCGTCACATACGGACAGTGTCTTGAAGACAGATGTGCCACAGGAGGGCCTGGAGCAGACTTTGTGGTGCAAACTTAGGTCATTTGGTCAAGAGATTCCTCCTCTTCCAAAAGTGGAGCTGTTTATAAAATGTTCAGATTCTTCTATTTTTATTGGTGCAGCGCTAGAAAAAGAATAAGGCTTCAACTCTCAGCTATGTATACAATTGCATTGCTCCCAAGCTCAGTTACTAACAGTACTATGGATCATTTTAGAAATTTTAAGTTTATTGCACTATAAAAGCTTAAGCAACTCTACCTAGAGTCTGTTTCCCTGTAAGCTAATGTTTCAGCAGGAAATTCTTTGTGAGTGCCAAAGTCCTGTATCTAAATGGTGGCTCAGGGGAACAAGCACTGACTGCCCCCTGAACCCAAGGGTCATGACTCTCCTCTGGAGATCTGAATGATGTGCACATTAGTGCTCTCAATGTGCCTTTGCTTGGTGTCTGCAGCCACAATACAGTTCCTTTTGGAAATGTGAGAGGTGCATGCAATGTTGAGGAAGCTTGGCACCCCATCAGTATACCTATCCAACCCTGGGATAGTATGGTGGGCAATACTGTGTCTGGGATATGTATGGTGGTGTGGGATAGGCTGTTATGGGAGGTACTAATTGCCAAACTGAGACAGTCAGACCAGAGAGGCCAGTGGAAGAATCCCAGCCAGGATAAATCGGGTCTATGCCAAAAACGCTGGCTGAACTCCTGCCGAGAAGCACTAGATTTGACAAACCAGGATTGTGCTGGGCATTGGAACAAGCACCAGGCACACAATGCTGAGGCCAGAGTGCGAAGTTCTGAACAGGCATGTTCCATGGACAGCACAGGCCTAAAAGCACTGAGCCCAAGGGACTGAGGATGAAGACACCCACTGCAATGAATTAAACAGTTCACATCTTTCAGAGCTTTTGTTTTAGGCTGTATTCATCACCATCAGATTCAGCTGACAACACTGCATTGAGACCAATAGGCCACTATATACACCTCCATGAGCTTCCTATTCTAAAGAGAGGTGTGCACAGCTACTTCTCCATACACACACTAGACCCAGATTTGGGGCAAGGACTCTGAAGTTCCATTCTCTGCCCCCTTTCTGCATCCAGCTGGCACATGTACTCCTCCTCACAGTTGCACCATCTTTCTTTTTCCCCAGATCCATCCACACTCACCACAGCATGGAGAGAGCCATGAGGAAGGTGGTGCTGCTAGCTGAATAGTGAAGAGTTATGTCCAGAAAGCCTCATTGTACCCACCCCACAACCACCCCTTAATCATTCCTGCCTCACTATCACCACATTCTCAAAAGGGAAATTCACTACCAAAAGGTTTATCAGAGTGAAAGTGGCTTAGCATTGCTTCACGTCCTTCCTAGATTAATGAAGTAGGGCTAAACTGAGGCCGCAAAGCCAAGAAATATAGAAACTTCTCCCGCAGCACTTTAATTCTGCCCTGCTGGAGCTGGCAGTAGGCACTGGGACCAAACCAAACCTAACATACCCCTAACAAAAATCTGTGATTTTCTGTGGTGTGCTGTGTTGTGTCCAACACAATTCTCTACTATCATTCCTCTTGACACAGTCTCCATGATTTTCACTAGCTGTACTGATTTAGGGATTAGTAGCAGCAAATTTCTAGATCCCTATTTTCTGACACACATTATGCAGGAGGCCTGAGCGGATGATTTAAAGCAGATGGCCCTCTTAGCTCTAAAATATAATATATTAAAGATATTTTAAAATATCTGTTGCGTTTCAAGATTGGTGGAATAACTGCCACTGTGTCCTACAGAGGCTGACATTGCAGTAGGTATTTCAACAAGATTAGGGAAAACAAGATTGTTTCAATTCATTCTAGCTCTCTTACATGTTCAGTGCTCACCAGAATTTCACATCTGCACTGGCACTCTCACTGCCATGCATCCTCTGTGCCATGCTATGGCTCAGGGGAGTTCCAGTGGTCTTCTGGCATACATCATAGTGTACTATAAGGCTCACTCAGGGCTAACTGAAGGTAAGGTGAGGTCTCCGAGGAAATGCTTAGGACAAGGATGAACAGGTATTAACATCTGACAAGTCTTTAGTGGTTTGTCTGGAGTCAGTAAAGTGGTCAAGAGTTAGCTAAACCTGACCTGCACACATTTGCTAAGCTGGACCTAAACTCAACATATATCCTAATCAAGAAAAGTTTAAGAGTTACCTCCTCACACACTAACCTTCACTCTTTTTGCTGTGCTCCACTGGCTCAAGAAGGGTACCATCCTCTAATCTCTCAAAAGGGCAGCTTTAAGGTTGTGTGGTAAGACAGACATCACTAACTTTTTATTTTCTGGTTTTGAGAGGTTAAGTTTGGCCACTCTCCACATTCTGAAAGGGCACGAGTCAGTGCTCAATAACCTTAACTCTGTTAACAACGTACTTGGCAGTGATTTATTATTTGCAATTGTGTGCATGTATACACACTGACGTTCCCTTCTGGTGTTATCTGGACCAGTCATCTGCTAGGCCTCTCCAATCCTTGACTCTTGGAGCCAACCTTACCGTGCTCTGCTGTGAGGATCCCCACTCCTGGGCTGTTCATGCACAGCCTCTGGCACGTAAGCTGCTCCCAGCTGCTTGCAAGCGAATGACACTAGTCAATATCTCTGGTCCCAGACACAACCCTGGGAACCTCGGTCTTGCAGTGTCCAGTTATATCTGCTGGACGCTGCACGCTTATATAAGTTTGTCAATTTAACAAAGAAATTGATATGTACCAGGCTTGTTCTCCCAAGGGGAGTCTGACACACTGCAAACCAAATGCACTGCTTCAGGTAGAATAAACAGATTTATTAACTATAAAGGTAGATTTAAGTGATTATAAGAAGTCAAAGCATAACAAGTCAGATTTGGTCAAATGAAATAAAAGCAAAACGTATTCTAAGCTGATCTTAACATTTTCACTGTCCTTAAAAACTTAGATGCTTCTCACCACAGGCTGGCTTTTCAGTCAGGCTCTCCCCTTTGATCAGTGTTTCAGTCGCTTGATGGTGGTGGTGTCTGTAGATGTAGGTGGGAGAGAGAGAGCATAGCAAAATGTCTCTCCCTTTTATCATGTCCTTTCTTTCCTCTTGGCTTTGCCCCCCCACTTCAGAGTCAGGTGAGCATTACCTCATCGCAGTTTCAAACTTACCAAAGGAAATGGATGATCCCCTCCAGAGAGTAACAGATTATTTTATTGCTGCCTAAATTGTTCTTGTGAGGCTGGTCTGGGTTTGTCCCATCCATGCCCTGACAAGGTGAAAACTGCCTCTCTGTTCTTGGAGAGTTTTTCAATGGGCTTGCTTTAAGCCATGAGGATACATTTTCAGCCTCATAACTATATTACATGAAATTATAACCTATAACCTTACTATAACATTACTGTAACCATTACTATAACAACCATGCTCAGTGCATCATGAGCCTTCCAAAAACACCCAACATGACAAACTTTGCATTGGATACCACACAATCGTTTTATAAAGATGAACATGGGAGTGTAGGGTGTTCTCCGAGGTACAGAGCGTCACACACACACACACACACACACACACACACACACACACACAGCATGAGTCAAAATCTTAAACAGTTTTAAAGAACAATTTTTTTCCGTTCACTATTCAACTACTCAGAGTAACGAATTACAATTTAGTTCTTTCAGATAAATTATTCCATTGTTAACACTAAAGTCAAGTTTCTGCACAACCAACCATGTTACTAAAGTCTGTTCAGGAGACACTCAATATTGGAATAGTAGGTCAAGAAAAAAGGCCCTGGACAGATGACATGGACAGGCTTTAACATCCAGTCTCACAACATACCTAGTTTCTATCAGTGTTTTACCTTAACTGACATGAACATTCAATGAACAAAAATTTTAAGTTACACTTGGGAACCACTGTAAAAGCCAGAGTTAGGACTGAAAACCACTTACTTCTTGACTCGTTTCGTCTGTTGTTGCATGGCACTAATTTGCTTGTTTCTGGCTGAGATCTTGAACTATTTCGAGAGCCTGTTCCTTCTTGGCTATCTGGTCTTACATCATCTAAATGAAGTGGTACCCACTTCTGCTTGTTACCTTAAAAGAGTGAAAAAAATATATATTCTCAACTTTAACTATGGGGCAGCTAGGCATTTCACTATAATTTAGCTGTTTAAAATAAATTGTATAATTAATTTTTAAAGGAAGAATAAGTAGCTCTTAAATAATTAGTTTACCTAAAATATTCAGGCAATAGGAAATATCTTAATACCAATTCTGCAAGTAAAAATAAAATCAGAAAATAATAACTTTTCAGTTTTAAAAGATGTATCTTAAGTAAGCTTTGAATCTAATAACTGAAGTGAGTATGGCCAAGCTTAAAGGAGGAACCAGAAGTGGAGGTTACTTAGTGTAACCGGAGGGTCTTCCAGGTGGGTGGTCCCTATCTATATTCCACATGTGGGTATGCATTCAGGACATGCGCCCAAGTCCAGAACTTCTTCAAAGCAGTGTCCGTTGGCCCGCACATGTACAGTAGTTTTCCTCATGCTCCCGACCAAGGGCTTAAGAGGCAGTGTGGGTTGACACCTCTCCAGTTCCTCCTCTTACTGCAAATCCAACAGGATCCAAAGCATAGGGGATGGGGGGGGAGGAGGGATAGTGGAGTACAGATAGGGACCACACATATTGAAGAACCTCCATTTACAGTAAGTAACCTCCACTACTTCGAGTGATTGTCCCTATGCGTATTCCACACATGGGTGATTAGTCTAAATACTGCTGGCCAGAGGCTGATAAGAGGAAGCTGGTAGCAAAGATGCTTGCAGCACTACTGATCCCACCACATCCACAACCAAGGCATGAACTAGAGCGTAGTATGTCACAAATGTGTGAATCAAACTCCAGGTGGCCTCTCTGCAGATGTTCTGCAGCTGAATGTCTAATAGGGATGGAGTGAGCTATGACACCCCCAAGGGGAAGAATGTTTGATATCTTGTAGCACTTTAAGACACATCCTGAGACCCACTTAGAAATCCTCTGGGATGATATGGCTTGCCCATGCAATATCTGCTATGGTGACAGAGTCTGGGTCATTTCCCAATAGGCTTGGATCTTTGTAGTTAGAACGCCAGGGCCTGCCAGACATCAAAGGAGTGAACTCTCGTGTCTTCAGAGGAAGTGTGAGGTTTCGGTAAAAATAAAGGTAAGTATTGTTTGATGTGGAACTCAATCTTTGAAGGAACTTGGGTGTAGTCAAAGAAAAATCTTTTCTTTGTGAAATGCTGTATTAGGAGGGTCCACCATGATAGCTCTGAGCTCGCTGACCCTCCTAGCTGAGGTGACAGCGATTAAGAATGCCATCTATAGACAGGTGGACATGGCACAAGTCGCCATGGGGTCAAAAGGTGGACTAGTGAGCTTGGACAGGATAAGGTTAACATTCCATTGAGGAGTAGGTTTAAGCACTGGTGGGAAGATCCTGATCAGGCCTTTCATGAATCATACTGTAGCTGGGAGAGTAAAGACCACTTGAGGAAGGAAGGTACTAATCGCTGCTAGGTATACTCTTAAAAAGCCAGCAGAGACCCCGGAAGTCTTCAGGGACAGGATATACTGCAGCCATTCCAGTTCTAGACTATCTGGAGAACAATGATGTTGTTGCACCCAGGCTGAAAAGCATCTCCATTTAGTCTGATGATAGGTTCTGGTAGACTCTTTTGTACTCTGGCTAAAGATCACCTGAACTGGGGCTGAACAAGAGCATCCTATTTCCAACACCCATCCAAAAACCAGGATGTGAGGTAGCATGAGCCCAGATTGGGATGCTTCGTCTTCCCCCATCTGGGTTCAGGAGATCCAGGAACGGGCAGATCCTGATTGGTGGGGGGGCAGACATCAATAGAAATTCCGTGAACCAAAGCTGTCTGGGTCAGTGGGGTACAAGGAGAATGATCAACAAAGAGTCCTGTGGCACCTTATAGACTAACAGATGTATTGGAGCATAAGCTTTCGGGGGTGAATACCCACTTCGTCACACGCATGATGTTGAGAATGATGTTGGCTTTGTTGCGATGCATCTTCCCTATGACTTGCAGAAACAGAGGAATGGGAGGGAAGGCAATCTGAGGCCGTTCATCCAGGACATCAGCAAAGTGTCACCTTGAGAGTCACAATAGGGGGAGCGTTCTGTTCATTTGCAACTCAAAGAGGTCCCATAGCAAAACCACCTGCTGTGCAAAATCTCACTTAGGACTGCGTCATGAACCTCCCACGAATGGCCTATCAAGAAGCTACTGCTTAATTTGTATGCCAGGGAGTTGTGAATACCCATAAGATATGTGGCCTGTATCGCAATGCGGTTCCTGACATCCCTGTTCCAAAGTCTGACAACTTCCTGGCAGAGTGGATGAGACCTCCCTATGTGTTTATATAGACCACCATGGTGGTAAGGTCCAATATTATGTGTATACAGAGTGAGCATATAAGTGAAAGAAAGACCTTGCATGCAAGGAGGATCAACCTCATTTCCAGTAAGTTTATATGTAGTCTGGCCTCTCATGGGGACCTAGTGCCCTGAGCATCCCACCCCAAAAGGGAAGCGTCTGGAAGTGGCATTGCTAAAGGGAACTCCCACTATGACCTTTTCTGGGTTTGACCACTAAGGCTATGGCTACACTTGCAGATGTACAGCCCCGGGAGTTATACCAGCCCTCGGAGACAGCAGCAGGGAAAGCGCTGCCATGTGTTCACACTGTCAGCTGCAAGCGCAGTGGCGTGGCCACATTAGCAGCTCTTGCAACGCCACAGAGAGTAGTGCATTGTGGTAGCTATCCCAGTGTGCAAGAGGCTGCAGCATGCTTTTCAAATGGGGGTGGGTGGGTGGAGTGTGATGGAGTATGTTGTATGTGGGGGGGAGACTGTGTTTTGGGGGGCAGAGAGTGTGTCAGCATGCTGTCTTGTAAGTTCAGACAGCTGCAGGGGGAAGGGGGAAACCCTGACATCAGGCCCCACCTCTTTCCCACACACACACACACACACACACACACACACACACACACACACACACACCTGCCTCTGCAGCAGGAGCATTCCACAGTAATGGTTTGCTTTGTGACCCGGAGCAGATAAGCATGCCAGCTGTCAGAAACGGAGCTTTGAAAGGGGATATCCGCATGCCTGCAGCCGAGTTCAAAACAATGATGAGAGTGGCCACTTGACTTCAAGGGATTATGGGATGTTTCTGGAGGCCAATCACAGTGCAGTAATGCAACACGTCATCTACATGGACACCCCAGCATTTCAGCCAGGGCACAGCAAGCTCTATGCTTCTCATGGAGGTGGATTACTGGGACACTCCAGCCACGGAGTCCAGGTGCTCTATATGCCTTGCCAGTGTGGACACCTCAGGAGTTAGGCTGCTCGGAGCGGATTTAAAGCGCTCGAACTTGCAAGTGTAGCCAAGCCCTTAGTTTGGGAGGTAACGACTCTAGCAGGAACTACCACCTTGGAGTTGATGTGGTCCTTGCATGGTTGATAGATCAAGTGGAGACAAGCCTGCAGGCACTGCAAGTGGAGTCTGGCAAAAGGAGTCACAGGTGCACGTGGCGATGTGGCCTAAAAGTGAAAGGCACTTGTGTACTGTGGCTCACATTCTGTGGGTGATGTGTGACATCAAATTGCTCATTGCATGAAACCTTTTGTGAACGCTTTCGTGGAAACTGAGTCCAAATTTTGCCCCTATAAAAAGTTTATTGACTGGTGGGTAACAAATTCTTTTCTTCATTTACGCAAATGCCCAGGGCAGTTAAAAGTTGTATTAAAAACCCTGTCGCCAACCTGACGAAATCTGAGGAAGTAGTGACCACCTTGTCCAACAAAGAAGCACCCAGTGAAACCATCGGATCAGGTTCCACCTCCTTCCTCCTGGTACACGGACGGAACCAGCTTGCAAGAGGAAGAGGCGTGATATAACTTGAGAGGGGTCCGGATGCCTGCCATAAGGATCCCACAAACCCCAATAAGACCAGAAAGAGGGATCAATCGGTTGCGGGGAACTCCCAAGGAAATCACTACCAGCGGTCCTTGGGTCGTACTCGGCGGAACAACAAATATAACCTCTCGACTGTCTACTGGGGCTCAACTGCCTCCATGGAGATACCCGTGGGGCCATCTCCTCTGATTCATCTCAGTTCGAGAATTGCTCCATCAGTAGCAGCAGTGCTCTCGGTGCCGGGGCACTCCTGCCAGAAGACTGGAGGTGAGACAGCTCCTAGGATAGTTATGTAGCTGCCTCCTCTGGATAATGACATCCCTCGGGAGGGCCAGGCCAGAAAGAAGTGGAGACCATGAATAAGGAAGGAATATATCCTCTGGTGTTACACAAGTCTTGGTATGCCCTCCTGCCTGAGAAGTTCCCACGGTTAAAACTGACAGATCCAGTGCATCTGCACAGTCTTTACATGGATGAGGCAGTACCGACAATGGGTCCAGACCATCACTTGTAGACAAAATCAGCGAATGTCCATCCTGACGATTCATAGGACCATAACCAGGGCGGGTTGAAACCAGGGTGCAAAGCCGGTGGGGGGGGAGGGGGAAGAGATGGAAAAATCGGGTGGACAAATAAACTATAGGAGGTAGAACCCTAGAGTCTTCAATAGGGATTTGTCCTTGCTCCCACGGGAGTACCTAGCAAAGATGGGCTCAGATGGTGAGGGCTTGACTCCAAGGCACATGCTTGGAGAGACACTGCTGATCAATTGAGGGGGCTGATGTACATAGGGGTCCCGATGGCCCATATCAGAGAGGGATGTCATAGCATTCTCCATCAGGGCTTCCATAGGCAAAGTTCCTGGGCAGGAAAGAGCAACAGATACTGCACTTCGCAGAGATATGCGCTGCACCCTGACAGTACAGGCTGCATTGATATTTGTCACTGATGGAGAAGATCAATGGCAGGAGATGCAATTCTTGAATCCCAGGACTCTGGGCATAGTCCCAGAGCTGGGGAGAGGCTCCCCAACCGGGGAGAAAAATACTTTATATTATAAATTTTAACTAACTTAAGAATACAACTATTTACAATTTTTTTTTAAATAAAGTTATGCAATGAAAAGGACGACAATTGTAACTCAGGCCATGCATCAGTAAGGAACTGGAGAAGCATTGACCCGCGCTGCCTCTTATACCCTCAGTCGGGAGCATGAGGTGAGCTAATGTACATATGTGGGCCAACAGATGCTGCTTTGAAGTATTTCCAGAGTTAGATGCATGGCACACATGCATACCTGTGTGTGGAATATACATATGGACCATCATTGGAAGAAGAATGTGGGATGTTAAGTTGTAGTATGCTAAAGTATAACAAACACTAAGATGAGGCATATAAGAAAAATATTTTAATAGCAAAAGGGTAAAAAGATTCATAACACTAGCTCTTTAACAATAACATCTGCTATTCTGCAGTTGGTTGGGAGGTGGGCAAGACATCTTAAATCTTATGCCCCCCCCCTCCAAAAGTGTCCAATATGGATCATGAATAAAAAAAAAAATCAGGTATCAACAGATGAATCAGATAATTTGGATTTAAGTTCTTCAGACTTCTGATGGAAAATATATTTTAAAGTTGACAAATATTTTTTGCATCAATTCAAATTCACCATTATCATTACAAAAAACAACAGTTTCATGTGATAGAACACCAAGACCTTTACCCCTGTAGTGGAGACCTCTGTTTTAACAAGTATTGTTTGTCAGTTTTATAGGTATAAATGATACCAAACTGTGTTCCAAAGCATAAGATTCTCTGCTAATAGAACACAAATTTTGTTCTTGCCTGGCATATTGTATAACAAGAGCCAAGAATATGACATGTGATTCACTAATAGAAGAACTCAGCTGTCTTTGGAATTTCCAGTTTTGTGCATTATCCACTACTTGCAACTCTAGATCAATGTTTTTAGAAAGTGTTCTGCAATTTTTAGATATATTTGCCTTAAATACCAGTATACAACCTATCCAGAATTCCTTAAAGCTGAAGGCTTATAGATCTCAAGTTATTTTCCAACTTCAGACTTATAGTTCTCATAATTTGTGCTGTCCCACAAACTAATCTAAGTGTATGGGTTATACTTTAACCATTTGAGTTTTGAAAATGTGTCTTTGCAAGATACATACAATACAGTATCCATTTTATTTTCCATATTTTACTGTGGAGAACAGTCAACTTGGATTCACCAAGGGCAAGTCATGCGTGACCAACCTGATTGCCTTCTACGATGAGATAACTTGCTCTGTGGATATGGGGAAAGCGGTGGACGTGATACATCTTGACTTTAAGCTAAACTTTTGATACAGTCTCCCACAGTATTCTTGCCAGCAAGTTAAAAAAGTATGGATTGGATGAATGGACTATAGGGTGGATAGAAAGCTGGCTAGATTGTTGGGCTCAACGGGTAGTGATCAACGGCTCAATGTCTAGTTGGCAGCCGGTATCAAGCAGAGTGCCCCAGGGGTCGGTCCTGGGGCTGGTTTTGTTCAACATCTTTATTAATGATTTGGATGATGGGATAGATTGCACCCTCAGCAAGTTCGCGGATGACACTAAGCTGGGAGGAGAAGTAGATACGCTGGAGGGTACGGATAGGACCCAGAGTGACCTAGACAAATTGGAGGATTGGGCTAAAAGAAATCTGATGAGGTTCAACAAGGACAAGTGCAGAGTCCTGCACTTAGGATGGAAGAATCCCATGCACCGCTACAGGCTGGGGACCGACTGGCTAAGCAGCAGATCTGCAGAAAAGGACCTGGGGATTACAGTGGATGAGAAGCTGGATATGAGTCAGCAATGTGCCCTTGTTGCCAAGAAGGCTAACGGTATATTGGGCTGCATTAGCAGAAGCACTTCCAGCAGATCGAGGGAAGTGATTATTCCCCTGTATTCGGCACTGGTGAGGCCACATCAGGAGTACTGCGTCCAGTTTTGGGTCCCCTACTACAAAAAAGATGTGGACAAATTGAAGAGAGTCCAGTGGAGGGCAAAGAAAATGATTAGGGGGCTGGAGCACATGACTTACAAGGGGAGGCTGAGGGAACTGGGCTTGTTTAGTCTGCAGAAGAGAAGTGTGAGGGGGGATATGATAGCAGTCTTCAATACCTGAAGTAGGATTCCAAAAAGGATGGAGCTCAGCTGTTCTCAGTGGTAGCAGATGATAGATCAAGGAGCAATGGGTTCAAGTTGCAGTGGGAGAGGTCTAGGTTGGGTATTAGGAAACACTATTTCACTAGGAGGGTAGAGAAGCACTGGAATGGGTTACCCAGGGAATTGGTGGAATCTCCATCCTCAGAGGTTTTTAAGGCCCGGCTTGACAAAGCCCTGGCTGCGATGATTTAGTTGGTGTGGGTCCTGCTTTGAGCAGGGGGTTGGACTAGATGACCTCCTGAGGTCTCTTCCAACCCTAATCTTCTATGACACCTCAAAAATGAGAAGGGCAGGGGGGAAAGTTTTAAAACCTTACACTGTACACATCGTATCCAGTCTCATGCACATACTGAAAGGAGAAAATAGAAAAGCATAAAGCATGTCAAGTCACTCACCTTCCTATCATCTGGAAGAAAGTTTATCAAGAAAATTTAGTAATGCTATAACAATTCTGAGTTATTATTTTGCGTAGTGCCTCGACCAACCTTTTTTCCTTTGATTGTTACACTGAGCCTCATCTTCACTGACATTTTCTCCAGGACCATCAGGCTTTGCTTGCAGGTTCTCAATTTCACTGCTTGCTCTCTTTTCAGTTTTCTCCTCCTTTTCTTTTTTATTTAGTGGCTTTTTATTCTGATGATTTATGGTTTTGCACTGCAAGAGATATTGCTAAATATTTAACATGATTTTATGGATGCGGACAGCATAAATTACATTTAAAGCAAGTTTCTGTACTTATTAAGATGACTTAAGATAAGTGGTTCTCAATCTTTGAGCATGATAAGCTCCAAAGTTATGAGCTGTGTAAATTATAAATTATTATTATAAGGGAGTCCTCAGACTTACGACGCTCACTTACGTTGGACGCCACTTACAATGCTTTTCGATTGACTGCCCATTTTACCCCTATGACACTTGTTTTGCCCTTATGACAAAAGCTGGCAGGGAGAACGGCACACATCACATGCTGAGCCTCAGCCAATCACTGATTTCACTGTTCAAGCTTTCTGATTGGCTGAGCCCGGGGCTGGGAGCCGATCAAAAACAAGCTACCCTGGTCATGGAAGCCAATCAGACAAGCGACTGCAAGGGACCCCCTTCCAGATTCATTCATTATAACGCGACCATAAAGTTATTTAGAAGCAATTCTGTAAAAAGCAAGCCCAATTCTGCATAGTATGGTGCTGACATTCTGAGCAGCCGCCTGTCTGCCCAGCCAGCCCTGCTGCTCCGGAGAAGAATCAAGGGAAACCAGCAGCCCAGACTTCAGAGAAGCCCCCAGCCAAGTGCCCTTCAAAAAGTTCTGGAAAGTCAAAGCATGTGTGATTTTATGTGTTTATTTGAATGCGGTTTACCAAATAAATACATTGATGTTGCTACATTAGTCATCTATAATTCATTTAGTACAAAAATCTGGGTTATTGTGGTGAAAATAGTGCATCAAACCTTGGTTTAGGAACAATTCCCCCCCTCCCCCCATACCATTGATTCCTATGGGAAAAGCAGTTTCGACTTACATTTCAACTTACAAAACAATTCTGAGGAACGAATTGTGTCGTAAGTCCGAGGACTCCCTGTATAAACAAGATCTTGTTAAAGTGAAATTATCTAAATTATAGCAAAATATAAGAAAGGGAAGTTACTTATCTTATTGTATTCAAAACGTGTGGTCCCTATCTGTATTCCACTGTGGGTAAGAAGGTGGACCACATGCCTGAGACCAGAGAATTCTTGCAAGCGGTGTCTGTTGGTCCATGCTTTCACCTCCGCTCTCCTCATGCTCCACTCTGAAGATACAAGGAGTGAAGTGGACTGACCACCTCTAGTTTCTTCTCTACTGTGAATCTTGTCATGATCCAAAGCAGCAGGGAAGGAGGGTGGGTAATGGAATACAACTAGGGACTACACATCTCGAAGAATTCCAGTTACAATAAGGTAAGTAACTTCCCTTTCTTCAAGTGCTGGTGCTTATGTGTATTCCACTGTGAGTGACTGAAACAGTACTCAAAGGACGAGGGTGCAAGAATGGAGGCGATATAACTGCTTATAGAAATGCTGTCCCAAAGCATGCGTCAACGGAGATATCTTGGACCAAGGAATAAGATCTACAGAATGGGTGGATGCAACTCCAAATAGTTACCCTGCAGCTATCAAGCCAGGGCATCTCATGAAGTGACACTACAGAGGTTGCTTGTGCCCTTGTAGAGTGAGCCCTTACCCTGTGAGGTGAAGGAAGCTGTGCCAAGGATACAGTCATAAATCCACTTATATTCTTTGAGAGGATATAGCTTGTCCTCATACTTGTTCTGCTATGGCAAACAAACAGTCTAGGTAATTTTCTGATCTGTTTCATTCTCTGCGGATAAAATGCCAATACTCACCTAACAACAAGGGAATAGTCTTCTTGCTTGAGGCATGGGGCTTCAGGGACAAAAAACCCCCACAGCTAAGTGAATTGACTGGTTTATGTGAAATTACAAAATTTCAGGTGTAATTGTAGTGAGACTTGGTCCTTATGGACTATTATGTATAGTGCATCGGTCATTAGGGCCCCAAATTCACCTACTTTTCTGGCTGAAGTGATGGCAACAAGGAACATGACCTCCTCTGACAGGTAAGACATGGAACACCTGATTAGTGGTTCAAAGAGGGATTTAGAAGATCTCAGTGAAGGGTGCAAAGTTTCTGAACAGACCCTTCAAAAACCTGGCTGTTACTCAATGAGTAAAGACTGAGTAAATGTCCATTGGCAGGAGACACGCGGATATGTGGCCAGATGAACGTGTAGCGAGCTAAAGGAAAGGCCCATTTTTCTTAAGAGTAAGAAGATAGTACAGAATGGCAGGAATATCTGCTGTCTCTGCAAATACATGGTTTTGCTGGACCCGGACAGAGAAACATTTCCACTTGGCTAGGAAACATTTTCTGATGGAGTCCTTTCTGCTATTTTTAAGAATTGTTTCCACAGCTTCAGACTAGGACCATTCTAGGCTTGATGCTCTCCAAATACCAAGCTGTGAGAAGAAGACCATCTGGGTTGGGATACCTGATGCAGCCATTCTCTTGGGTCAAGATGTCTGGGAAGGTCTGAATGCTGATAGGTGGACAGGATGAGATTTGTAGGAGACTTGGCAACCAGAACCATCCGGGCTGTTTGGGGGTGATGAGGCTGTTGCGTGCCCTGTCCAGTCAAATCTTATGAAGAACTGAGGTAATAGAGGGATGACAAGGAAGAAATAGCTCAAGTCATCTGACTAAGGCAGTAGGAGACCATCATCTCTGGAGTACTGTCTTTCAGCTCCCCTAGAGCAATATATGTTGCTATTCCTGTATGCCTGGGGGAAAACAGGTCCAAAGGAAGGGTTCCCCACTGATTGAAGATCCTGTTTACCACTGAATCACATACTTCACATTTCTGATGGGTGGCAAAATGCTTGCTGAGGCTGTTTGCCAGTGAATTTTGGGCTCTCAAGAGGTACACTGACAATAGAGTGCTATAAGTTGATCACTTCTATAAACAAGGGGGATGGATCTCACCCCTCCATGCTTGTGTCAAACACACACACACAGTTATATTGTCTGACATTATCAGGACATTCTGGGATTGTAGGAGTGCTAGGAATGCTTTGCAAGGTTCTCATACAGGTCTCAGTTCTACAAGTTGTGTGTGGATTCTGGCTTTCTTAGGCATCCAAGTGCCTTATGTTATATGACCCCAGCCTATCGGGTAGGCATCTGTAATTATCTTGTCAGATGTGCGGGACAGAAAGAGAAGCCCCCACAAACATGTACAGGGTACCTCCCCATTTCAGTGAGACCCTCAACTCAGTGGGGACTGTCACTAAGGTGTTCATGCTGTGCTTGCTCTGGTGTATACACTGTTCAGAGCCATGCTTGTAGGCAATTGAGTTGGAGTCTGTCAAATGGCATCACATAAGTACATGATGCCATCTGCTGCAGAAAAGTGAGGCATATCTGAACTGATGATCAAAGGCTTTGCGAAGCTAGATCTGAATGCCCATGTCATGAAATCTGTCCTTAGGGAGGTCAGCCTTTGCCCTGATTGAATCCAAGGCAGATCCTATAAGTTCTATGCTCTGTGTTGGAGTCAGTGTAGACGAGATGTTTATGCAGATTCCCAGGGATACTAGAAGGTGGAACAGCAATGAGGATGGCATTAAGACCTCCAGGCAAGAGCTGCCCATCAGAAGCAAATTGTGTAAGCTTCTGAGTTGCCTCATCTGAGCTGCTACTATTGAGAACACTTTTGTGAGGGCTCTGGGAGGTGTGGTTAACCCAACAGGAAATACCCTGAATTTATAGTGCTGGAGGCCTACCACAACCTGAGGAATCATCTGTGGAGTGAACAGCAAAATGAAAGCACATATTTCACATCAAGAGCTGTGAGCCACGTGTCCTTTTCTGGGGATGGTGTTATTGATGCCATTGTACTGTTGTGATAATTGGGTCTACAAATTTACCTAATTGGGAGTTCAAGAGTAAAAAAAGTGAATTTTCATAAGATGCCACAACAACCTACAAATGTTGATGTCAAAATTTATGAAAGGGAGACAAAGACTGAATTAGTTCAAACAAAAAGGCCTACTGATATAACGCAAAGACTGTGTAAAGATCATGCTTGGTAAATACGAGAAATCTGTGAACCAAAATTGGTGTATATGAAAACAGGCTTAATTAATAGACAAAATAATGACAGGATGGACTATTCCCCAACCTCTCTCTGTGTGGGTCCTTAAAGAGACTGAGAAGTACTGGCTACTGGAGCCAGCTTTATCATTCTGACTGCCACCCCCACCATCTTGTGGGATGCTGGACCTTCTTCAACCCGATCCTGAAAGATGCCCAGAATGGGACAGAGAGAGGGACCCAGATGGCATTGCAACCTTTATTGGCTCCGGTTGAATCTCAACCACTATGTGGGACAAAATAGGATCAGACTCTAACAGCAACAGCAGCAGCTGTAACCCATAACTAATTTCTCCTTTCCCCAAAAGGACAGTTATTTGATACCTTTTTGATACCATCTAAATAACTGTCAAACAAGGAGTTTTTACCTTCTAAAATGTCTTCAGATAAAGGGAAAGGGAACAAGGGATGTTGATAAAATGAAAGCCTTACTTATTATATTGCAAATGTTTTGTTTTTCTTTTTCTTTATCCTTTTGTAAAAGGTTCAAAGGATTTTTAATGGTGTTTGTGCAATAGTACTAAGCAGACTGATGGCTCTGAACCTGAACCTTATTTAAACACTGTCAAATGTTGGACAGTGGCTGGGTTAACATCTATAGCCCATATATTCCATCTAAATCAATATAATGGTACCCCCCATATGGAATTTCAGTTTGCAAATAAAAATGTTGAGTCAATGCAGCTCGAGAATGAGTCTCCAGCCTCCTTTCTTCTTAGGAACTAGGAAATATTTCCCCAATGTTGAGGGGGTACCTGCTCTATTGCTCCCTAGTGGAGAAGAGATTCAACTCTTTGGAGGATCCCTCATGAGAGAAGTCCTTGAAAAGGGATGAGGAAGAAAGTTTTGGAGGTGGGGAGAGAAGCTCAATGGTATAGCTAGACGGGTGATATCCAGCACCTACTTGTCTATTATCAACCACCAATTGTGGGATAAGTTCTCTAAAC